AGAACACTCTACTTTTCAATTACATGATGGTTCCTCTAATTGCTGGAAGTATGAAAATTGAAAGCAAATATATATATATACATATATATATATATATATATGGTATTTATTTTGCTTTTCATCAGTGATGGGGCTGGAGGAGCTTTAGTAACTGAGCCAAGCTCAGTCTTTCAGGCTGTATCTTGGGAATACTTAACAGAGTATGGGCCTGTGTGTTATCGAGGGAACACCTTTGTTGCCTTATCAATAAAATGAGAATACAATTGTCTCTTTTATTAGAGATTATGAAGATGAAGTGAACATATAGATGTGCTGGTTTCAGCACTGAAGCTGGCACATGGTCAGCACTCTGCTAGTCTTAGGGGGGAGTGGACTGTCACCAACAATGTGGCATGCTTATCCAGGAATGGGATGTCTGATGACACAAATCTTCTACCTAATTATCCAACTTTTAAGAGGTAAACTTGAACAAGTTACAGACACAATAATTTAAGAGAAAGGACACTAACTCTTAGACAAATTGACTTGAAAGAGATGGCTTGAAGCCCTGGCTTCCTTTCTGAGTAATTGCTGGCACTGACTTGTCCCTTCCCAGAAGCTGCAGATAGGCGAGACCCGCTCTGAGGACAGCTGTGTCCTAGGGGGGCTCACCTGAGCAGATGGCGCTGGCATCTTCGTGGTGCCCGCAGTTGTGGGAGAACCATCCATTGTGGTTGCATTGCCACAGCCTGGCTTCGTTCCCCGTGCACTGCATGTCATCCAGCACAATGTGGCCAGTACCCCCATCAAAGTAGCTCTGAGCTGGGGCAGACAAGGCTTCACCACAGCTGAGCTGTTGGCACACCACCCTGGCGTCTGTTATGTCCCAGCTGTCATCACACACTGTGCCCCAGGTGCCGTTGTAAAAGACCTCCACTCGGCCCTCACACCTGTGACTGCCATTCACCAGTCTCAAAGACGCACCTATGAGACAGGAAGACAGAGGCTTCTGAGCTGTGATGCTGTCTCCAAAACTTCTAGGACCTTCTGCAGTTAGAGAATGAATGCCCAGAACCTGGGCTCATTTTTCTGTATTAGGCTATTGGACTCTAGATAGGGTGGCCTTATGTCCTGCTTTGCCTGGAATAGTCCTGGTTTATAACTGTTGTAGAGTGAGTAATGCCTGTTAATTATTTTATAGTCCCTTTTAAACTCTCAAAAGTATCCTGATTGGAGGATAAGTTACATGGTCACCCTAAGCACAATCCACTGAGATCTCTGGAATGTTCCCCACATACTAAGAGGTCTGTATAAGTGCTCTGGATGGTTTCGTATTGAATTCACCTGGAACCAGGTGGGCTGGTAGTTGTAGTCTGAGGTAGGTTTGTTCCAGAAGGATTGGCCCTACTGTATCTTCCCTTCCTTTGGAAAAGAAAGATCTTCGTTTGTATCCTTCATCTATACACACAGTTGATGCAAGATATGAGATTCAGCGACCTGTTTCTTTAGCCAGGATGTTGTCGTGGTGGAAAAGGACAGTGAGTGGCAGAGTGGGATGAGGGATTAGCTGGGGTCTGTTAGTGTTAGAGTGGACATCACTCAGGGTGGTGTTAATGATGGTGTACTCCGCGGGTCGGATTTAGAAAATTCTCTCTTAAAGGGAAAGGACACAAATCAGCTCTAACTTCCATCAAGGGTGGATATTAGGATACCTACTACTCTCCTTTTCATCTTGTTGAATGGCATTGTACAGAGCATAAAACCCTGTGTTGGTGATCATGGCATCACTTCTGAACACCACAGTCATGATGTTTGAAGAGGAGAGGAAGGTGAGCTCTGCCCCAGCACAAAATCTGCCCATGGAGAGTGGGGCAACTTGCCGTCCATCGAACACTTCAATAAAGTCATAAGGACACCCGTAGATGTCTTCTAATCTGAGGAGGTAAAGGCACAGCAAATCTCAAGGAAATCTGCAGAAAAGTCTTAAATAAAACATCATTTGCACTGTATCCAGGCAGAAGCTGCAATCATCCCTGCTGACTCCTTTCAACCACACATCCCACTGGTGGACTTGACTCCTTCAATATGGCTTGAATTTACCCTTCTGTTCTTCCTTATGGGCACTGGCCCAGGTCAGTCAGCCTTACACTGCCTCACATGCTCTATTTCAACGGCCTCTACCTGGTATCTTGGCTTTTGGTCTTTCCCATCAGCTTCCTCTCTGCCACTAGTGTCTCCTGAATGTCTCCTGACTATTCAAACTCTGACACTTCCTGAGGTGCAGGCAGGTGTCCGCTAGTGTCTCATTGAGTAGAACACTCAATGGGACCTGGAGCAAGGAGAGATGGTGACCTGCTGTTAATAAGCCCCCAGGGCCTGCTGAGTAGGACTCTCTCCTTCCATGCCCCAAACTGCCTGGTTCTGACATGGGTGATCAGAGAAGCTGTCCTTGACCATCCCACCAAACCCTGTCTGCACCCCCTCCTTCTTTATTCTATTACCATCTAGGTATATATATTTTTCTTCATAGCACTTATCAACTTATCACTAATGGTAATTGTCCTTGAGTTACTGGTTTATATGAGTACTATTTATCTCCCTGTCTAGAATATAAACTTCATGAGGACAGAGATCTTGTCTGTCTTGTTTGGCACTAGAAGTCTGTTCCTAGACCAGGACCTGCATGAAAGTGGGCTCAACAAGTATTCTTTAAAGAATATAAACATTAGTCTAACATGACAAAAATAGGAGGTATGTATGTTGGCATTCAAACAGCCATAAGTGGCCCCTGAGGCATGTGCTGTAAGTGCCCATTGCACAATACATACACAATGGACACATCCAAATTTGAAAGCCTGTTTATTGCCAAGCACACCTGTTCCAATGGAGTAAGAGCCAAGTGCCTCAAAACAACCCATGTTTAAGATAAGAAAAAATGATAGATTTGTGTGTAAGGTGACAGTAGGGTGACAGTGACAGGTGACATTGCAATCCGAGAAATCATTTCAGTGGAAAACAAGACACACTTCACTTAGCAAGAATAAAATGGGACATTTTAAATATGGATATATTTTTTGCAAATTGAGTGTGAAGTTGGTTTCCATAGAAGCTGAAACAAAAAAGAAAACCAAACAAAACTAAAGCAAGCTTCAATCAGGAGCCCTCAGTACCATCGACATTTAGGGATGGAGAAGTCTTCACTGTGGGGGGCTGTCTTGTGAATGGTAGGACACTCAGCCACATCCATGACCTCCAAGCGCTATGTGACAGTACTCATATAAACCCCACGTCCACAACTGAGACAATAAAAGATGCCTCCAGTCCCAGACAAATGTCCTGTGGGGTTTACCATTTCTAGTGAAGCCTCATTGGAGCAAACTGACTAACCTCCTGTTCTTAGACACAAAAAGCAAATATCAAGAACTCTAGACTTAAAAACACCAAAACCCGAGAAAATCAGTGCCTAAGCTCTGGTGCTAGGTAACACATTAAGCAGCTCGTTGATGTGTATACTCTGAAATTAGAGTAGGGAATTTATGCTGGGATAGCAGCTGAGAGATTGCAGGAGAGTGGGTCACTGCAGCTGTTTGGAATAACCATTTTCCAGAAGTGGTAAAATGATACTCTGTGCCCCCAAAGAATAGAACCATGTTTTCCATAGATTTGAATATACCAGACCAGATCTTCTCACACTGCTTTAAATGAATAAATGTGTGTGCAGTGGATGAATGAATGAATGAATGAAAAATATATTTTGTTCATTCACCATATACAATGCTCCCTGATATCAGTTGACGTTCTCCCCATTTGAAAGGAATTTTGGCTATCAGGTAAAGCTAATCGAGTGCATCCCTCACTCCACTGCTGACTCATCTCGCATTTGAAGGCAGCATTAACCATTCAGCTCCTTGACTGCTGAGGCCAATGAACACAGGTGGAAAACAGTGGCAGAGGTCTGGCAGAGACTGTGACAACGTCAGGAAGAGAGAATGACCCAGATGGGACTCAGTGTAGAAAGATGAGACCAGGTTAAACATTATCGGGAAAAGCAATATTTTCATTGAAAAGTTACTCATGTATATGTATGTGTATGTGAATAGGTGTGTATATATACATGCATATAAATATGCATTAAAACAGGAGAAATTCCTTTAAAAATGGGTGATGGTTGGAGAAAGTAGTAGGAAGTACATTGTACCTAAGAGGAAAGAATGAATGGAGTCTATTTAATCTACAAAAGAAAACCATTAGCAGGGGCATGATAGATATTCTTGAAGCAGATGTGTTTTGTGTAGCAGTAGAGGCAAGAATGATAATCAGAAAATGAGAATGAAGAAGAACAAATTTGGGTTCAGCCCAAAGAAGAGGCAGTGTCCCCAGTGGAGCTGGCATGAACCCCAATGGAGGGTTCATGAAGTCTTCGTGTGTGGGTCACCCCAGCTGAGGCTCCCTTGGTGGTCTGGTGTCAGGGATGCTCATGGGGTGTTTGGGTCCTTCTCCATTTGCATAGGAAGTTGAGCTCAATGATTATAAGACTCCTAAGCTCAGACGACTGGAATGATTTTTACCTAAAATGTGAAAGGATGCGTCACACAGTGCTGTAGGCTGAATGTTTGTGTCCCCTCAAAAGTCATATGTTGAAATCTAACCCCAACAGAATGGTATTAGGAGGTGGGTCCTTTGGGAAGCAATTAGGTCATGAGGGCAGAGCCTTCACAATGGGATCAGTGACCTTACAAAGAGTCCTGAGAAAGCTCCCTTGCCTCTTTTACCAGGTGAGACAATAGTGAAAATATGACCATCTGTGAACCAGGAAGCAGGGCCTCACCAGACACTGAATGTTGATCTTGGACTTTCCAGCCTCCAGGACTGTAAGAAACACATTTCAGTTGTTTATTAAGCTATCCAGTGTATGATATTCTTGTTATAACAGCTGAGTCGACTAGATATGTACCACCTCCTTGAGGAACGCATGGATTCAAGTCTAATCTGGCCTCTGGAGTAGAAATAGGAAAAGCTGCTTACTTCAAGCTTGGGATCACCAGTTCTATGCGGAACTTCTCAGCCACGTGTATCACCCAGATACACTCCACGTCAGTGGGGTAGTTTGTTGGATACCAAGGACTGGAGAAGGAGCCCGAGAGACCAGAAATTACCCCTCCACAAGAGTTACTTCCTCCTGCAAGGAGACAAGAGACCACTGGTTGGCTTCTTCAGGCAGGCACCTGGCATTTTCCCAGGAGTAGAATCCAGGATTCCATCAAACTCAATAGTAAGTCACAAAATGGGAGGGGATCATGGGTGATATAGACATAGCTGTGGCTTGGCTGCAGTGTGTGCATCCCTGAGAGGGAATGAGGGGGAAGAAAAGATGTGTGACTTGTACCAGGGCAGGACCCTAAGACTCTAGGTGAGACTGGAAATGGCATGGGACATGTACACGGCGGGTGTGGGGTGTCCAGCCAATATTTCATTAATGCTCTGCCCAGCTTTCTGTCATGCAAACACCAACTCAACTCAGATGTAGACAATCCATTCATTCGCAAGGGCTCCATCCCACCAATTCCTTCCCCTCAGGCAGCCAGAACAGACAGACATCTATTCTGCTTTTACAAGTTATCAAAGTGAGTCCATCTTTTACAGGTATACTTTCAATGAAAAGAGAGTTACCTTGTGGTGTAGGCACTTGAGGGATGGGAGCTGCAAAAACCAAAACCAAAGAAGATTAGGAAAGAGGCATCACAAGAGCATCATATATTTACGTACAAATGAATGAACCTGTAACTATGCTTGAGTCTTGATGTGTGGTGTGGGAACGCTCATTTCTCTGTCCTGTCCCGATGTGGCATGTGGTCTCTCCCCTTCTTTCAGTGATTTGCCAAGAAATCACAGACAACGCACAGCTATGTGACTTGTTTTCTCTTCTGTGTGAGGGTCCACCAACCCCAGGGGTGTCCTGAGGTCGATCAGTCATGCATCACCCACAGTAAAATCACTGAGCATCTGAGCACACCACTGCAGAGCGTGAAAAACACACAGGGACAAAAACCGGATGGCTGCGAGCCTGGACAGGGGAAGGCAGGTTGGACAAGAATTACACTGAAGTAGATGACCCTCAGTGGGGAGGGCTTCTTCCTTTCTTGTGTCCTTTTGGCTTTGATTTCTGTGAGGCATATATTTCTATATTCTGATGTGTCCTTTTAACATAAAGGTTTATTTATTTTTGAGAGAGAGAGAGAGAGAGAAAGAGAACATGAGTAGGGGAAGGGCAGAGAGAGAAAGAGAGAGAGAGAATCCCAAGCAGGCTTTGTGCTATCAGCACAGAGCTCGATGCAGGGCTCGAACTCACAAAATGTGAGCTCATGACCTGAGCTGAAATCAAGAGTCAGATGCTTAACCGACTGAGCCACGCAGGGTGCCCCTCTAGAGGCATCCTTAATCGACAGTGCTGGTGGGTCAATGGCAGATTTTGAAAGCCTGTCTATTGGAAAGGTGGTACTTGCTGGAGTCCCACGTCAGGAGTTAGTGGGCACGGGGTTTGAAGCAAATGGGTCAGATGCTGTTAAGAATTCCCTTACGCCCATTGTCCTTCTCCATGGACAGCACTGCCGTTAGGTGCAGGGCAGTGAGGACAGCGGTACTACCCACTGTCTACCCTTCTTAGTCCTTCCTCAGGAAGGGTGCTGGCCATCAGCAGAATGTATTTTTTCATGACCTAAAGTTGTATCAGAAGCAATTGTCTTTTGTTAAAATGTCTAATATGCTGCATTTCCCTTAGAGAGTTTAATGGCAAAAACCTTAGTGTGTGCGTGCGTGTGTGTGTGTGTGTGTGTGTGTGTCCAGGTGAATATATAATGCTTTATCAAGAAGTGGCTCATTTACAGGGGGATACTATTTAGACATAAAAGATTTCATTCTCCCCCCAAATTTTTTTGTTTCATGACCCATTCTCTTATTCAGTCAGCTATGCCTCAGAAAAGGAATATTATAGCAGAGAGAAAAAAGAGAAAAGCCTTCTGAGGTTTGAAACCCTGGACTGCAAGTGAATGTGGGTCAGAGCTGTCTGATGAACTGAAAGCCATGTTCTTCTCCCCGGCTCTGGGCTAGAGGAGATTCCTCACTGGGATAGGAAAGGAAAACCCAGAGGGCGCTGAGCAGAGGCAGCTGCTTATGGGTCCCTGAGAAATGATTCTGTGGGCTCTGGCTTCCCTCCGGGGCTATGGCATGATTTTTGGGTCCCAGTGCAAAATGAAAATGTGGGGCCTCAGCTGGAGGTGAGGAAGGCAATTGCCCCTTCCCACAGATTCATTTCTATAGGGGATGGTGACGTCCACCTGGGATGACCTTGGGGCCTGGACTGGAGTGGGTAAGAAGTCCCCATCAAGTGTCCCTCCAAATGTCCCATGGTGATGCCAGCTCAGTGTAGCGACAGGCTACCAGCCACCTTGCCCGCCCCCCAAACACTGCAGGGTGTATCCTGACCTCAACCTGTCTTACATCCAAGCCCCCACTGGGGGCAGAGGGTGGAAGTTGTCACTGAGCAGGGCTGGGGAGGAGGGTGGGTGGGGACCAGGGTGCCAGCAGGCAGGGAAGTGGGCAGCTAGAGCCTGTCCTGGAGAGGTATGCAGCTGTAGGAGGCAGGACCACACGTGCTTAGATACCACCGGAGTCTTGCATTTGGAGGTCACTGCTACATATCGACTCCGAGCAGGGTTACCAGAACAAGGTGTACCCTTTCTCTATTCCTGCTGTGTCGGCAAAGCCAGAAGGCCCCCAGAACAGCCCCAAATGATTTCACTTCTCACACTCAGCTTGTTCTTGACCCACTGGGAGAGCGAGCCATTGATGCATCAGTGTTTTCTTGCACGCTCTCATTTTCCAACACGTGTCCCTGGGAGGTAAAGCTTTCTACCTTCTCTCCTTTCCATCTTGACCCTCTTCCCAGCCAGGATAATGGAAGTATGTCCCCCACCCCCCCGTCCCCTGCTGCCTTTCCTTGCTCTGCTGTCCTGAGGGGCATTGGGATGCCATTTCATTTGGGAAATGAGGCTTTTAGCTCAATGTCTAAGCTGCTGGTTCTCAACTTGCTGCATGGTGGGATCACATGGGAAACTTTAAATATTACTGATGACCTGGTATGACCCCAGAGATTCTGATATGTCTGGTCTTGGTGCGGCCAGCACATCAGGAATTTAAAGGCTCCCTGGATAGTCAGTGTCTAGGTCACAGTCCACCAGTGTCTGGGTCAAGACAGAGATTAGATTTCTTACTCACTTTGCAGGGAGATTGGAAGTTCACGGTCTTGGACCTACCTGGGGATGCAGGGATCACATCTGGAGACCAGTCCCCAGCATCTGCAGGATTGAAGAAAGAGGTAAATTTAGGAAATCTAAGTTACATTTTGTGAAGGTGGGTGGTGGTTTTCTAGTGTGGGCAGATCTCAAGCAGGTAAACTTCGTGTTACACAAACAAGCACGAGGGCATGCTGGGTTCTGGAAAAGGAGCTCAGGCCTGGGAGAGGTTGCAGAGAACAGGGCCTGACAGTTGCATGGCCCCGGAGAGCATGTCTTTAGAATGGAGTCAGGCTCTCATCATTCTTTGTCAACCTGGCTAAAGGACACTCATCTGTGGGGCCACCACCCTCCGATTCTCTAGCCCTGCTTTGTGCACACTCTCCATCCACCACTAAGATGCTGCTGGCTGAAAGGTCAGAAAGAACCTGCCACGGGAAGACAGGCTACCTGAGCAGATGACACCGGCGTCCTCATGGTGGCCACAATTGTGGTCTGACCAGCCGGAGCTAGGGCACTGGCCGAGGTGGTTCTCGCTTCCCGAGCACTGAATGTTATCCAGGAGGATGTTTCCAGAGCCCGGGCCGAAGTGAGCCTTTCCAGGGGCTGCAATGGCCGGTCCACACCCCAGCTGTCGGCACACGACCTTGGCTTCGTTGAGGTCCCAGAGGTCATCACACACGGTGCCCCAGGTCCCCCTGTGGAGGACCTCCAACCGTCCTGAGCACCGTCCTGAGCCGCCCACCAATCGCAGCTCCGGTCCATCTTCTAAACAGAGCGGGGTTTTATTTTTGAGTTTGGGAAGTTTTACGTAGGAAGGATTTCTAGCTCCCACGTTCATGGCTAAGGCAAATGAATTCAAAAGCAAAGCCTAAGGCTGTCTTGATTCTGTTACAGGCTGGGCTGAAGGGCTTGAGGGTGAGACAGAGGAGGGTTTGAATCCAGCTCTACTGCTCTCTAGTTGTGTAACCTCTGACAAGTTGCTTTGTCTCCCTGGGCCTCGGTTTTCTCATCTGTAAAATGGGGGCTCTAGCAGCATGTATCTCAGAGGGCTGCGGTGATGAGTGGGTGGGAGTGGGAGTATAAAGCACAGCGCTCAGCACCCACTACATCTTGGCTTCTCAGGTCTTGCTGTGTGGTTCTCTGACACAATACTGGGATCCTGGGGGAAATGGGTCCCCAGCTGCATTTTTGGACATGATTTGGATCAGGGTAGATTTATCCCTTGAAGGCACCTGGGCCACCAGGGTGTCTAATGAATTCATAAAGCTCAATAGAAACAGCTATTTCTGGGCCAACGGGCAGTGGCCAGCTGGAATTGCCTGCTGTCTCCTGGAGACATACAAGGACAGCCTTTCTTGCCTGAGTGCACACTGTGCCACTCTGACCCTTCCATCTGTTTCTCCAACACGTCCTCGAGAGCCTTTGTATTTGCTCTTCTCTTTGCCTGGAATGCCCTCTCACTGTCATCCATCACCTGTGACCTCCTCAGCAAGGTTGTCCATTCCCATTCCATCCACAGGGGCAACCACCTCACCCCAGCATTCTCTCTGCCTTCCCCACCCAGGCTCTTTCTTCCCAGGCATTACCACTCCCCCAACCCCAAATCATCTTGTCACTTCAACTGCACCTCACTGCCTTAGTTCACTTGCCCATGTGACCCTCTTACTGAGAAAATCTACCAGGCGTACAGTAGGGCTTATGGGGAAAATTGTGGGGTGTTTTAACAATTGACTTCCAGGGCTTTTCTAATAGGGGAGGGCCCTCAAGTTAGAAAACTGTTCTGTCTTTTAAAGACCAAAAGCCTACTTGAAACTTCCTACCTGATTCCCTTTTGCCTTGCGGAATCACATTGAACATAGCATAAAAGCCAGTGTTGGTGATCATAGAATCACTTCGGAACACCACTGTCATGATGTCTGAGGAGGAGAAAAATATCACAGATATGGAAGCACAGAACTTCCCCATGGACAGTGAGGTGATCCGGGGGCCATCGAAGATTTCAACAGAGTCGTAAGGGCATCCAAGGATATCCTCTAGGCTGCGGGAATTGAAGTGGAGGGTTAGTGGCAGATTAAGACTTCTTAGATCTAAAAGCTTAAAACATATGGCAATCATAGAATTAAATATTTGGATTTACTTTAAACTGCATATTGATACATAAAATATCAGTTAACTTTTACAGATGCCTATTACAGAAGTCTTATTTCGTCTGAGCATTATAGGAGGCTTATGGCTACAACTTAGTAATCAGCAGTCACCATCTACATGAAACATTAGAGATGCTGGTGTGCACTGCAAACAAATTCTTACCAGGCCAATCACCCTGATGATCAGTATGTAAACATCACAGCCAGATTTTCCTACCTCCATATTTCATATTTCATGACATTTTCCATACCCAAAATCTTGGGGAGAAAAAAGTTAATTTTATTTACTTGTATTTTTTAATGTTTATTTATTCTTGAGAGCTGGCAGAGGGCAGAGAGAGAGGAAGACACAGAGACTGAAGCAAGCTCCAGGTTCTGAGCTGTCAGCACAGAGCTTGATACGGGGCTCAAACTCACGAACCGTGAGATCATGACCTGAACTGAAATTGGATGCTTAACCGACTCAGCTACCCAGGCATTCCCCAAAAAGTTAATTTTAAAATAGAAATGTCAGCATATAGAGAATATCTGCACTTTGGCAATCTCTCGCTAGGGATGTGTGTGAGGCTGATTTTGAAGGAACCGATAACCTAAAACAGATAGACTTTGGAGGTGTGGGTTCAAGGTTCTGACTTCATTGAGGGCTCTCTGTGTCCTTAGGGTTTCAATCAACAAAGAAAACATGTTTCTAGAATATTCTTTGGCATAGGGCATGCCGGACTCCATGGACTGAGCAGCAATTCAGTGTGTGCTACAGGTGGATTTTCATAGCATCTCACAGTGTTGCTGTGTTCTTAGCATGATGTCTGTCACATACTACAAGAGGTCTTTTCACAGACTCCGCCTATAGAGCCATGTGTCAGAGAAGAGCTGGAGCTTTGACATTAGACAGACCTTGCCGGTCAGCCTCGGGCAAGTTAATTAACTTCTCTGAGCTTCAGCTTCCTCATCTCCAATGGACAGGACAAGGGTATATATCCTAGGGCTGTAGTGATGCTGGAATATGACAAAGCAAACAGAATACATCATATAGAGTCTGGATACACCAACACTAAAAAAAATGTCAGCTATTATTTCATGCCATGGAGATTAAAAAATGGAGATAAAAAAGTGACTCAGAGAAATGTTTTCCCCACGTGTCATAGATGAGGCCATGATTTCACTGTCTCCTTTCACTTGGTGGCAACATTGAGAAGATGCTGGGCCTGGGGCTGGAGCAGGTGACTCAAGTGTGTGTATGGAAAGCCTCTTACTATGTGCTGTTAGATAAAGGAAATACAAAGTTTAAGAGGATGAGCATTGGTACCCACTGTACAAGGACAAAGGTGGTAAGGAGGAATTGGGTGGCACCTTTAGAAATCAAAATCAAAAGAAAAAATATCATAATAAGGTTGAGTTAAATATGTAAATAAATCATTTATTAAATTTTTCAAACTAGAAGTAACTCATTGGATAAAATCACAAAATTAACTTGACCTTTAAAATTGGGAGGAATTTTGTGTTCTTCTGTTTCCCCCCCTAAACGTTTTGGTCTAAAAGAAATATCTTTATTCTGATTTCACAAACCAATATTCTTATTTAGAGAGAATCTTCTCTTAAAAGTTTGTTATCTTACTTCAGAGTTGGAATCATGAGTTCTATGCGGAATTTTTTATCCACATGAATCTCCCAAACGCACTGGATGTCTGTTGGGTAGCTTTCCGGATACAGTGGACTGGAAAATGAGCCAGACACACTAGACATGACCCCTCCACAAGAGCTACTTCCTCCTGAAGCAACAGGATAAAGGATGTCAGCATGTGCCCGTTTTGGGGACCCCAGTAATGACCCACTCAAACCCAGTGGTCTAGTGGAGTCAGGCAGCAGTCCACCTGGGTGGGCACACCCAGAGTGTCTGAACGGATCTTTTGGCCTAAATGTCACCTGGGAAGGAGAGCCCATTCAATCTCATTCTAAAGGGGAAAAGTGTTAATATATGGGAGTTTCCTGCCTTTCTCTCTCCCCTTACTATCTAATGAAGAAAATACTGCATTTGTCGGGTCTGTTCACTATCTCCTTCTTCTATTGCAGAAGGCTTCTTGCTTGTGGGGACAGAGGCAGAGAGGATGTACACAGGGGGTTGGGAATGAGGGACACAGGGACAGAGGCTGTCAGGTTTGGGTAAGGTGCTAGTTTGGGAAGGTTTGGGAAACAAAAGGCTCCAGAACAACTTTGGGGTCTGATGAGTTGGAGAAAAGGGGACACTGTGGACTGTTGAAGGACGCTATGATGGGCACCCTTCCCACCCCCGCAAGTACTTCTTCACTACCTTTTCTGGGTAGATTGTATTTCTTTGAACTCAGTAGCTCCTGAGAATGAAACTTACAGGTTTTTAGATTTATAAGTTACACAAGTGAACTCTAATTCTTCCAAATTAGTTGTCATGGTAATAGAAATCAGTACATATGCATACACATACGCGCGCACACTCACTTAAAGCAACATGCCACACAAGAAAGCAGAAGTCTTAGAATCATCAAATTATTTTAGAGGAAATTTGAAAACACAACATGTGTTGTTGACCTTGTCCTTAAATTAGTATGTTGCTTAATTTTCTTCTTTCTGTTTGTGCTCGACTAACCGGTAATGCTCCCAGAATCTCAAGATTCCTGGTCTTTCCTGCGACAGATGGCTGGAGGTGGGGATGTGCCCAGGCATATCATCGGTCTGTTTTGGTTGGTTGTAGTTACAACAACTGGGCCAGGTCAGACAGACACGAACACCCCTGGGACTGGATTTCCTGAAACCTCTACTTGTAAGCTGGTGCCGGTCATGGCTGCCCACCCCCTAGTACTGTACCCAGAAGCAGGCTGAGTACCCTCGGATGGACGAACCACATTCCTTTCTAGTCTCTTGTTACCCTTCCATTACTGACTCTGACCTAGGCAGACCCCCTTTCCAGCCTGCCCCTTTAATTAGAAAGTAAGTATTTATAGGTCTTAGCAGCATTAATGGATGCCCTTCGGCAAGGCTGTGGTGAGGACCAAGGGGCTCCATCAACTGAAGTCCTGACTCCCCTGGTGTTCTCGTGGTGGTGGCCATGACAGGACTGGCATGGGTAGTGGACAGGCAGCCCTTGCCCATGCTGTTCCAGTCTGTCTGTGCCACATCCAAGGCACACCGCCTAGCATCTGCTGTGTTGATTCTCTCTGCATGGAGTTACCATTTCCACTTAAAACAAGTGACTACCTGGTATATGATCCTGAGAAGCTGTGGAAAGACCTAGAAGGAAAAGAAAAAAGGGGGAGGATGATGACATTCAGAGGAAAAATACGGAGTTTCATCTACAAGTTAGTGAAATGTAAAGGGTTTTCTCTGAAATGTCAATGAACTTAGCGTGGACTGAGAAAGGTCTGACGGTGCTGAGTGAACATTTCTTTTTTTTTTCTTTCTTTCTTTCTTTTTTTTTTTTTTTTTACAAATAGTTTATTGTCAAATTAGTTTCNTTTGCTTTAGTCAACTTCTCATCTGTTGACCTACTTTTTCCTAGTTAGTTTTGTCAAAGTTGAGGGACTGTAAACTTCTCAAAGGAAATATTTTGCTATGGGAGAAGAAAATGGCTATCTTCCTGGTGGAATAATTTTTTTTTTTTTACAAATAGTTTATTGTCAAATTAGTTTCCACATAACACTCAGTGCTCATCCCCATAAGTGTCCTCCTCTATGCCCATCCCCCTCTCCCCCCCACATCCATCAGTCCTCAGTTTTTGTCAGCATTCAAGAGTCTCTCATGGTTTGCCTCTCTGAGTGAACATTTCTACTGTCCTGGGGCAGATTAAAGAAGGCCACGCATTCTTGGACATGCCTCCCATCACGAAATGGGATCTAGGTCTCCTCGCTTGACGCTGGGTGGCCTCTGTTTTGGCCAACAGAATATGGTGGAGATGTGGAGGTGACACTGTGCTTTAAGAGACTAGAAGCTTCCACTTATCTCTGAGAACACTGGCTTGCTCATGGCGCCCTGAGCCACCCTGCTGCAGAGACTTGTGAAGAGGCCCGGAGACTGTCTGGGGAGGAAGAGGGTCCTGGATGAGCCCACCCTTCCAGCAGCCTCCACCGGGCACCAAGCATGTGAGCTCAGCTGCCCTTGACTTTCCAGTCCAGCCTCGAGGTGAACAGCACCGAGCGACCCTACTTGGTGCTACGTGGAGCAAAAGAGTCTCCTGTTGAAGCAGCACCCGAATTCCTGACCCAAAACAACATGACATGTAACTGAATAGTCATTGTATTAAACCGCTATGTTTGTGGAGTAGCAATAGACAGTCAGAATGGCTCCTTTCACTCAACACGGTCTTCCTCATTTCCCCATCATCTCTGTAATCTTCAGTTTAGCTGAGTTATGGAAAAAGAGAAGACTACAGGTAGGCCTTCATTTAAACATTCACTGCCTTTGGCCCCATCCATGATGGCCTTTTAACTTTGGACAGCCCTTCCCCCTCACTTGTGACCCCAACACATAAAGCTGGTCTTGCCCCCATGGACACTCAGAACACATCAAGTTCTCCTCCAAGCAAGTGTCCAAGAAGGATGCTTCTGCCAATGACTCATGATTTATGTAAGTCTTTGAGGCTGTGTGGGGGCAGGCAGGTTCATTCAAAGGGCAAGAGATGGGGTCTGCAGAGTCTAGTTCTGCTACTTTCATTTTTTTAAAAGTTTATTTATTTTGATAGAAAGAGAGAATCCCAAGCAGGCTCTGGGCTGTCAGTGCAGAGCCTGATGTGGGGCTGGATCCCACGAATCCTAAGATCATGACCTGAGCTGAAACCAAGAGTCTGATGCTTAACCAACTGAGCCACCCAAGCTCACCCCTGCTTCTTTCTAATAAAGTTATCTCGGGCAGGCTTTTGGATCTCCTTAATCCTTAGCTGTGAGGATTAAATAAATCGATTCATACAGAAACCCTAGCATCATGCCCCACTGCTGTGCAAATGCTCAGAAATGTCTACTGCAATGAAACAAAATGCCTTTTCATTTACCTTCAGTATCATTTCATAATTTACATTGCATGTGTTGGTCTGGTTTTGCTAACCTTTTTATTACAGATGAATATCACTCAATCATTACGTTATAAAATCTTTGAAAACAGGCAAAACTCTTAAGACCCCCAAGAGAGTATATTTTGGGGTCAGACTAATCAGTGTCAGTACACAGTTCCACCATTAACTTGCTGAGTGATCTCAGGAAAATTACTCAACCTTTCTGTTCCTCAAATGTCTCTTTTGTAAAATATAATACAAAATGCCTCTTTTGCACGATTAGCAATAATCTGAGCAAAATGTCTGCCCATCTTTGTGCTAATTTTACCTGGTCTTTATGTAGCCGGGGCCAATGAAAGGGTGTGGTAAATGAGACTGATGGCCAAGAACACTGACGGTGTGAGTTCAAATCTACTGTCTAGCCTTGAAAACATTGCTAACATTTTATGTTTCAGTTTACCTATCTGGAAAAGTACTTGCCTCTGGGGGTTACTGGGGGATGAAACAAGTTATATATATGAGAGGCTCAGAACAGTGCCTGGTTCTTAGCATTTATAAGTAAATTGGATATTATTAATATTATTGGAAAGTTGTCTAGACTAGAAAAAGATATGGACATACCTGGAGGTGTGGGAGGAGGCAGTTCTTCCGCATCTGCATAAAGATGCATAAAGAAAGGCAATAGGTCACTCTCTTTAGTGAATCCAAAGCATGGAGGAGGTGTTGGGAGATAGAGGGAGAGGGTACAGATGGGGATTGAAGGAGAGACACAGGACTATCTGGACACAGGACTCAGCTCTCCTCTGGCAGGGTCTCTGGCCGAGAGAGGTAGGACACAGCAGCTGGGTCACCTCTGCCCCACAGCAGGCAGGACAGGTTACTCATGGCCCCTCTTATGCTGAATCAGCTGGATTACTTGTGAAAATGCAGATTCTAGCACCCTTTCGTAAACTAATTAGTCATGCTCTCTGGGGGCGGGGCCCTGGACTCTGCATTGTAATGCCCCAGGGGGTCCTGGTGTACGTGAACATTCTAGACTTCCCATGTGCTGCCAAAGCATGTGTGTGAGCCCAGGACTTGGTGCAGAACAGACGCTCAAGGGTTGTTTCATGCAAGAATGAGTGAATGGGTGAATGGATGAAAATTCCGTCTGGGAGGCAGTTTCAAATGTCTTCAAGAATAGCATTAGAAATTATTGTCCGAGACGGCAAAGGCTACCTGAACAGATGACACCGGCATCTTCGTGGTGGCCACAATTGTGCTCTGACCAGCCCAAGTGGGAGCACTGACCCAGGGAGGGCTCCATCCCAGAGCACTGCACGTTGTCCAGGAAGATGTCTCCAGAGCCAGGACCAAAGTGGGCCTTCCCAAGGGCAGACACGGCCCGTCCGCACCCCAGCTGGCGGCACACGACCTCGGCTTCACTGAGGTCCCAGAGGTCGTCACACACGGTGCCCCAGGTGTCCTGGTGGAGGACCTCCACGCGTCCTGAGCACCGACCTGAGCCGCCCACCAGCCTCAGGTCTGGCCGGTCCCCTGCAGACAGAGATCTGGTGAGTGTGTGAGTCCCCACGTGACCTACCTGAGGTTCACCAGCACCAGGCCTCCGAGGCCGGCAGGACTTTGCAGTTGCAAAAAGCCGGGTCTTGAGCACTGGGGCCTGTTCCTCACGTTTCTAGTGTATTCCTGAGCTGCAGGGGGTGTGGTCTTCAGCCAGTTTAATTTCATTTAAAAGGCATTCATTGATTTGTCTTTCCTGTTAGGGCACTGATGCTGCTGCTATAAAGCCAAGAGATATAGTTCCTGACCTCAGGGAGCCTAAAGTCCTTCAATCACATGCAGACTCTAGGACCATGTCTATTGCACACTGTGATAAAAATGGTGAAGGGAAGAACAGGTGCTATGTTATGAACAGATTAAAGAGTGCGCCTGGAAAGAGTCCTCTCAAAACACTGAGAAGGATACATACCTGGTAGTGCAATTGCTGGGTGGCAGGGGAGTTCTATTTTTAATTTTTTAGTAGTTTATTGTTAAGTTGGTTTCCATATAACACCCAGTGCTCATCCCCACAAGTGCCCTCCTCCATGCCCATCACCCCCTTCCCCTCCCCCACCCCCATCAGCTCAGGTTTGCACTGTTGGTGGGAATGCAAACTGGTGCATCCGCTCTGGAAAACAGTATGGAGGTTCCTCAAAACATTAAAAATATACTCTTGAATGCTGAGAACAATCTATTCTTAATTTTTTGAGGAACCTCCATACTGTTTTCCAGAGCGGCTGCACCAGTTTGCATTCCCACCAACAGTGCAAAAGGGTTCCCCTTTCTCCACATCCTCACCAACAGCTGTTGTTTCCTGAGTTCTTAGTTTTAGCCTACCCTAATGCTGATTGGAAGGGGCACATGCACCCCAATGTTTATAGCAGCATTATCAATAACAGCCAAATTACGAAGAGAGCCCAAATGTTCACTGACTGATAAATTGGTAAAGAAGATGTGGTGTATATATATATACAATGGGAACACTACTTGGTGATGAAAAAGAATGAAATCTTGCCATTTGCAAAAACGTGGATGGAACTAGAGTGTATTATGCTAAGTATAATAAGTCAAAGAAAGATAGATATCATGTGATTTCACTCATATGGAATTTGAGAAACACAACAGATGAACATATGGGAAGGGAAGGAAAAAATTGGATAAAAACTGAGAGGGAGAAAAACCATAAGAGATTCTTGACTCTTACATCAAGAACAAACTGAGGGTTGCTGGAGGGGTGGTGGGTAGTGGATGGGCTAGATGGGTTATGGGCATTAAGGAGGGCACTTCTTGGGGGTGAGCACTGGGTGTCATATGTAAGAGATTAATCACTGGGTTCTTCTCTTGAAATCAAGACTACCCTGTATGTTAACTAAATTATTTAAATTAAAAAAATTTTAAAACCCCAAAATCAGTGAGAAGGAGTGGGCCAGGGAGCAGGTGGGGAAAGGCCTTTGAGCCAGAGGGAAAAGCATATAGCTATGCCAAATGATCCTGAAGTGCTGTTTCCCTCATGCATGTGTCTCTAAAAATATGAGCTCTCTCTCTCTCTCTGTCTCTCTCTCTCTCTCACACACACACACATGCACACATATACGCAGCAATTACCACATTAAAAAAAATCACAAATAATAATTCCAGTGGTACGAAAACTTCTGCAGTGTAGACAGAGAGTGAACTTAGAGCTGGGAGACAATAAATAGCCCAAGGAAAAAAAAATCAGGAAAATGGATATTTGAGTCCCATCAAGAAAAGTGTCACCTACCTGGACTAGTAATAAGTGATTCTTCAGCATCTGTTTATATAAAGATACGTATGTCAGTATTTTTCAGAAATCTTGCCTTCAACCATTGAATACAAAGGTTTTAATTACATCCTTGAAAGTGTTTATTGATCCAATAGGGAAAAGATTAGTCCCATTAAACAACATAGGGCTGGCAGGACCCTATTCATCGGTGGACACAACAGAGAGCTTGTCTCTCTCTGTTGGCTTGCTCCTGCATGGTGAGGAAGTGGTCAGCTATACGGTGCACCTGGGGGTGCGGATTATCACTTGAACTGCCAATTTTGTGGCAGATGAATTTGACTTTGGGGAGTCACGGGGGTCAGCTCAGGTAGACAGTCATCCTCCAGAACATGAAAACGGAAATAACACGTGGCACTTGGGGCTGTAACTAGGTCAGGCATGCCACGCATCACAAGATGCCAAGAAGCACACAGACAGACAGATGAACGCATCAACAAACAGACAAAGCTTCTAAGTATCACTTCAGATGAAAGTCACAGGGGGCAGGTGCTGACATCTGACTGAGACCCTTCTCACATGGGCAACTCCAAGTAATGAGTTACACTTCCTGATCTTTCAAACCACACCAGGTGTTACAGCTCTTAGTTTCCCAAAAGGCATCTCATTATTGGAAAGGGTTATTGATAGATGTTCCAGAGGTGATTACCTTACTCCCTACTAATGTTTTGAACACGAGTAAAGCCAAAGTATTTTTAAAAGTTTGAAATGTCATAAGATGATTAAAATGAGCCTTTTTAATTCACTGATTCCCTTGGTGTGTTGAGTGAGGAAGATGGTAATACAAATGACCAAATGCGCAGTACACTTGGCAGCTATCTGCAAAGACAGGCCAAATCCTTTCAGCAATTCTGCAAGACAGCAATCAGTCCCCAGTTTTACAGATGGGGAAACTGAAGCTCTGAGAGCTTAAGTGTAGCCCAAATGCAGTCTGAATGTCAGCACTGGCTCTGGGATTCAGACTCAAGTCTGTCCAGATTGACATCTTCTCACTGCCTCTGAACGAAAGACCTTTAGATAAATTCCTTAAAAATTCCCATTCCCGTATTTAAAGGGATGCCTTAGTGGCTCAGTCAGTTAAGCATCTGACTCTTGATTTCCGCTCAGGTCATGATCTCACAGTTCATGAGTTCGAGCCTCGCATCAGGGCTGTCTCTCTCTCTCCCTCTCTCTCTGACCCTCCCTTGCTCATGCTCTCTCTTTCTTTCTCTTTGAAAATAAATAAACTTTAAAAAATTCCCATAATTAAATTCCCAAATTAAAGCAAAACTTGAATGCCACCTGGTTGAGGCCCTGTCTCTGTCCCTGGCCTGCTCTGAATTCCAGCAGGGTGTTCTTAAAGCATGGTGGGGCTGGCAATGACTGTCTGAAAGAGGAGGAGATACCTGAACAGATGACACTGGCGTCCTCATGGTGGCCACAGTTGTGCTCCGACCAGCCTGAGTGGGCGCACTGGCCCAGGGAGCGCTCCACCCCGGAGCACTGAAGGTTGTCCAGGAAGATGTCTCCAGAGCCAGGACCAAAGTGGGCCTTCCCAAGGGCGGACACGGCCCGTCCGCACCTCAGCTGGTGGCACACGACCTCGGCTTCATTGAGGTCCCAGAGGTCATCACACACGGTGCCCCAAGCCCCCTGGTAGAGGACCTCCACGCGTCCTGAGCACCGACCTGAGCCGCCCACCAGCCTCAGGTCTGGCCGGTCCCCTGCAGACAGAGATCTGGTGAGCATTGCCCTCTGGGACACAGCACATTGCCCATGAGCTGGCTGAGCTCTCCACCCTGACACCACTATTAGGGATGGAGAACTTGGTGAAACAATCAGTTAGTCAACTAGTCAACCTCCTCATTGGAGGTTAATATGTAATTAAAATTTTCAAAATAACATTTAGCCTAAAATATTTATAAATCGAGTATCTCTTGGACCAAAGATACGTGCCCATCTGTTTTAGCTAAATGGAGAAAAACAATATAAATAATATTTGCAGTGATTTGTGGTTTTGTGAAGTGCTTTTGCACATGTGTGTGTTGTTCATCTTCACCTGTACAATAACTCGAGGTAAGCAGAAGAGTCCTCATATAGCAGTTTAATCCATAAGGAAACTGAAAGTTGGTGAAGTCAAATGATTTATCCCAAATCCCACATCTGGTAACTAGCTAAACTCAGATCTAAACTCAGCTCTCCTGATCTCAAAGTTCACTATTTTTCTCTGCTATTCGATCTCACTGCCTCTGGAATGGCTTTGACGCCCACTCATTTTGAAAAAGGCTATTAGTGATACACAGATACAGGTTAACTATGAGCAGGACTGGCCAAATAAAGACAAGATAGCACCCTGCCAGAAGGTACTTGTAAGCTGCTCAGGCTTTGATGACTCTGAAAAATACTGAAAAAAAAAATGTACTTTGCTCACTCTGGGATGCTAGAGCCAAAGAATCTCAAGAGTTTTGGATGGCCCTAAAAATCTGCATAGAGCCAACTGGCCCTTTTGCAAATAGATGAACTACTTGCAGCTAGTCAAGTTCCTGCCCATGAAGCAGGTACAAGTGCAGATGCCACGAGGAAAGAATACTTGGTAAATGAATGGATGCATTCCAGGGCTTACCTGGTCTTGCTGTCACTGTCTTGGGTGTTGTCATCGGGATTGCTGTGAATACAAGATGACAGCCTTCAGGTAAAAAGGGAGGATGTGGGCAAGTCAAGATGGCCATCTCTCTTAAACACCAAGATTCTGGCTGGTTCATTCTCCCTGGCGTCTTTATAATAAGTGACCCCCCCCCACCAAAATCAAACTCTTGTTGTTCTTAAGACATATGGGATCCAGCTGAAATAATATTCCCTTCCTCTGCCCAGCTGCTGGAAATATAACAACACTTAAGTTGTGCCATTCTGTGCCAAAATGTGAATGTGCACAGTGTCCTTCCAGGGAAAAAGGCATTTCTTCCATGTGCTGCTGTTGTGTTAACTTTCCCTAAATGTGGAATGTTTGATTGGGTGTGTCTCAATGTCTTTGATTAAAGCAAAGAATTGAGAAATCTAATTAACGGTTATCAATTTACAGAGACCCAACTGTTGGTATGTGTAACTTGGTTCCAAAGTGAATGGGCATCAAACTTGTGCAAGACGTATGCAGACAGAATCTCTCAGCTAGCTAGACTGATATAGGAAATTTGGAAATGTAAAAGAGTTCACACTATGACGGAGTGAAAGTACCAGCAATGGGGACAAAGAAAGACACACGAGTGAAGAATGAAGATGAAGTAACAATAGTAAACGTGACTCACTGATTAGATGTGGGGTCCTGGAAACCGCCTCTGCAATGATAGGAAACCTCGTCAGTAACTGTTCAAACACAGTGACAGTGACTTTCTCTGATCCACTTTGTGACACATAGCACATGTGCGAAGCTTGCTCACTGAGCCTCCTCAGTGCTTGCTCACAGAGTGGAAGACTTGTCTGAACTGCATCTCCACCAGGGCACAGTCTAGAATGGCACAAGAGATCTATGAGGCAGCCTCTTTTCTCTTAGTGGTAAATAGTATAAGGGAGTCTCAGAACAATTACTGAACCTCTTATGCCTCAGTTTCCTCATCTGTAAAAGGGGAAGAACCATGGGTTTCTGTGAGGATACGGAGGGAATACAAGTAAAGTGCTTACGGGGTTGCCTGGCATAAAATAGGCGTTCAGTAAATGTTCATTGCTATTTTGATCACCCTTGTGCTTACTGAACCTTGAGAACCTGCAGTTCATCAGAAACCAACCTTGACTTAGCTTCTGTCCTGTCTACCTGCTCGCTGCACGTCCTATACATCCCATCGCTGTGCTCATACAGCTCCCTCACCTGCTGTGCCTTTTTCCTATTTCTTGACTTACAGCCTGGCCAGGCTGAAAGACAGATCTGAGGCTGTTTCCTCCTATGTTTCCTTAGTGTTTACAGCCTGCATCTCTCTCTCTCTTTTTCTCTCTCATCTTTTACTGAGATGCATTCATGTGTCAATGTAGTCTATTCTTTTTGCTTGCCTTCATTTAGTACATTCTACTTGTCCTCTCATTGCATCACATGTGTTTGTCTTGAACTTCTAGGTTGTACACAAGCCCCTCCTAGGCTGAGACCACACCTTCTTTTTCTGTAGGTCCTACATCACGCACCTAGTCCTAGATTCAGAGTAACTCCAGAAATGGCTTCCTAATGGGCTGACTGCAATGAGGTATTTACAAGAACCGGATCCATGGTGAAGTTGCCGGGCATTGAGCACTTATGATACACCATCACTGCACTAAGGGCTTTACTTGTATCATTTCAGGTAAGCCCCACAACAAGCCTAGGAGGTAAGCTTTTCTTATCCCCATTATACAAGGGAATGGATTGAAGCACAGAGAGATCAGGTCCCTTGTCCAGCGTCACAGAGTAAGCGACTGGGCTCTAACTGGTCCTGAGGCGGGTTGTCCATCTCTAGCTCCAAAGATCCTGCTTCTAACCACCATTCATACCTTTGGCTGCAGAATAATAATAAGCGATGAAGTTTTTCCCTATGTTGTTGAAGCTTCGGAAGTACACGAGAGTCAATGAGCTGGAGGAGGATGCGTAGGTGAGGTAGGAACCAGAGCAGGTCTTCCCCAGGGACTTGGCTGAGGATGGAGGGCCATCCAGGATTTCAAAATATTCATTGGTGCAGTCGAGGCTAAGGAAGCAAAGACCAAAGGCTGCCTCTTGGCCTCCCCATTAGCAGATCTTGAAGGTAGCTGGAGGCAGACCCTTTCTTTTGAGACTATGAAGCTGGGGCAGATTAAGAGCCTGTCAGCCATTTAAACATAGCATGGATTCTTTTATCTCATTTTTTTCTTAAGGGGATGGGATTTTACCTGGAAGAAGGGAGAGAAGGCTGAAGCACTAGGTGGGCACCTGCTGAGACCTGGAACTGCGGGTGCTTGGAAGCCCAGGGCCAAGGGCTGGGCCAAGCAAAGGCCTGCCTGTGGGACATGGCTTCAGGTCCCAAACAACTTATTTACAAAACTTTATAGGCAACCTGCCTACAGGTCTGCCAAGCTTGCTTTGCGCAAGTCATATGATTTGTTAGCTCTTGTTTTTCACTGTGGAGTTTTGTCCAGATGCCCTGGTATTCGAGTCAGAAGACCATGCTTCAGCCTGATAAGCTGTCCACTCTAAGTTTTTAAGTTTATTTATTTATTAAGAGAGAGAAAGAGCATGTGCACAAGCAGCGGAGGGGCAGAGAGAGAGAATCTCAGGCAGGCTCTGTGCTGTCAGTGCAGAGCCTGGCATGCAACTTGAACTCATGAACCATGACATCATGACCTGAGCTTAAACCAAAAGTTAGACACTTAACTGACTGAGCCACCCAGGTGCCCCTAAGTCATCTTTTGATTAAGCAAAATTCGAAAGTAATAAATAATTTAAGTTGTTCCTGGGAATTAATTTCCATAAGACATTCATTTGTGAATGACATCAACTTTGACTATTTACTATATTAAAACCTAGAATTCTTTAATTTATTAGGTTTGGGGGGGGGTTCCCTGGTATCTTCATCTTTAACCAGACGTTAAAACATACATTTTCTCCCTCCCTCTCTCTCTCTCTCTCTCTCTCTCTCACACACACACACACACACACACACACACACACACGTCGATGTAGAAAATATTGAAAACAGAATAAGATCTGTGGCCTAGCCAACAGTATTGTATTACAGTTATATAAAAGCCACCATTGGGGGAAGTTGAGGGAAGTATATCTGGGACTCTCTGTATTATTTTTTTGACTTCCTATGTGTCTACAATTATTTCAAAATTCAAAATTTGAAAGAGTGTGAAGGATTCTTTTGCTTATGAGAATCAAGCATGGGGAAATGCTTGGAACTTTAAACTGCACAATATACTTAAGTAATTTACTCATGACTTACTTAACATATGGAAATGCCAGCAGTATATGGTCAGATACATTTGCCTTGATTTCCCACACACAGGTTATGTTGTCGTGCATTTCATTCCGCGGGGGATTCCTAATCGCTCCAGATGAGTTAGTGATAACACTGCCACACGAAGATTTTTCTAAAAGCAGAAAGGTATTTTAGAATTCAGTTTTTTCATTGTTCAGTTCACTCATTTTGTAATTGATGCTCTTTTTTTTTTTTTCATTTTTTTTCCTACAAAAAAGGACTCAATGATCTTTACCTTGTGGGTATTGTCTTAGGATATATCAGATGCATAAACCGGTCTAAAAATTCTTGCAAACTTAGAAAATTAGGGCATGAAAGTGTCAGCATTTTGAAATATCTCTCATGTTCTTTTGAGAATTCTGCCACTGACATGGCCTTGCTGGGCAAAACAGTTATCCAATATTAGCCAGAAGCTTTCTCTCTGGTTACTCCCTAGTGGTGGGTTCTGTGGCTTTGGTTTATGTCAGACCACCTGTAGTGATGAGTAAGTTGCTTCATTTTCCCAATTAAAGCTAAGCCTATATGGAGCCTCTATGTATATGAAGATATCAGTGTTCGATCTGTCATCTGTTAAAATTTATTAAAGTTACACTATTAAAAATCTACTACCGAGTGGAGAGAACTTGCCTTGAGTCATCCACCCCTCCAACATTGACATCATCTCTGTCTGCCTGTTCACCACCTGTTCACTTGTTTTTCCAACTGCATGTCTATCTGCCTGTCCATCTGTCTGATACTCAGTACAAAATTAAAGGTAACACCTGTGACAATGGCTTTCTCCATCAGATTATCTGGCTGTGTGAGAATTGGACCTACATTCGATGGGCTCTGGTCATCTACCTGTGCCTCTTCCATAGAAAGACCAGTCAGGCCCTCCATGCATCAGTATTATTTTAGCCCTTTATCTCCAATTGGTACTAAGAAAAGTTTAGCAAAGCTTCTGGAATCCCAAGATACTGGAAACAAGAGAGGGGGGAAAATGGAAGATGAAAAAGAAAGGTCAAACAAGGAACACAGAGATTGTCAGAGAAGGGAAAAGGGTGAAGAAGAAGAGCAAGATCATTATGGTGGCAGCTCTCTGAAATGATGCTCTTGCGTAGCGGCCCTGGCGACATTGCTGTGTTAAGAGCTGCATGTTTATTCTCCACGTGTAGTGCCCGTGCTGGAGACCACACAGGCTGGCATCACTTGATTAGTTGCCTTCTTTGACTGCACAGAGATGGAACTGGAGCCATAAATTTATCAGCCTTCATTATTGGACACTTTACTCAGAACATGGGTTCAGGGGGGTGACCCAGGTAGGACAGTAGTATTTTTGCTCCACTTCCTTGGAGAGTCACTTCAGGGCTTGAGCTAGAAGATGGTGGTCAGAGAAGCCAAGGACACTAAACTCTCACCTGCTGCCGTTGTTCCTGCGATGACGGCCAGTGGGCGATCTGTCAAACACACAAAGAACATGTGGCTCGTCAGCTGGCGCTGAGGTCCCCATCCCACCTGCACATGATACCCTGAAGGAACTCATAACAAATACACTGTGGGGTCCCTCCCAGAACTGCTGAGTCATCTTTGGGGGCAAGGCCCGAGCATGTTGGGGATGTTAATAGGTAGGAGATGGAAGAAGCACTGATCTAGATCCTTCCCAGGTCTTGATAAATTATCCTCTTGTCATACACACAAATGAGATATCTTAAAATTCAGGGGTTAGGAAAACTAAGGACATGAAATTCTAGCACCCATGGACAATTCCAGTGACTCAAGGGCCAGAGTTAGGAGACTTTGAGGTAAGAATAGGAAGAGGCACTGCTTCACCCCTTTCTTTGACCTGGCGCTGCTCAGAAATACTGAGTCAGCACCTAAGGATGCTGCGGACCTTCCTTTGTGCCCTCTGGAGACCCTTTCGTGGGACCAATCCTTTCCCACCTACTGGAGCTGACAACCCAGGAGGGAATGTGCCTGAAGCTTTATCAGACTTTCCTACTCAGCCTTATACATGACCCATTGTCTGACCAAAAGCTGAGGGCAGGGCATCGGAATGTGGGGGATTAAGAAGGAGAGAGGGCACCGGCATGGAAAACTCTGAGCTGCCACTGAGAGCATGGAGGAAAGCCAACAGCAAAAGCAGCTCTGCGGGCACCAGGAACTAGGCAGGGGCATGAAGAGAGTGGGGTTAGGAATGGGTCACCTTGACTTTGGCCAGGTCTGTTCCACCAGCATCTGCCCCCCGGGCAGGAAGGGTCCTTCCCCACCTCTTACATTTTAACCACCCCCTACCTTACCCACCCAGAGCTGACAACCTGAAAGTGCTATACAGAAGTCTGGGATTAAAATCTGCTGCCTGTGTGTAAAATGGGGAAGAAGTAGAAAGTGAGGCTGGATCAAAAGATTTCTGAGGTACTATCCATTTCTCCCACTGGACAGTCAGGTGACTCCACATGTCCCAGTCCCTCCACTGGCCTGGAGAAGGACATATCCAACTTCCAGCAGAACCTCTTCCCCAAGGTTTGGGTAAACTGCACGTGTAAATATCACCTTCCTTACCTGGTGGTGTGGCCATAGAATATTCAGCATCTGTAAGTATGAGGGATTAAAATATCTGCTGTAAGCAAATAATGTACTGGTTCCTTTTCAATAGCTACATTTACATTGTCTTTTGAAAAGTACTCTCTCAGAAAGAGCCAAGGCTAGGCTCTGCCAGGGAGGGAGCAGGGGTTTACCTGAACAGATCACACCAGCATCTTCTCCGTGCCCACAGTTGTGGGAAAGCCAGCCGATGTGGGAGCACTCCTCCAGGTGCTGTTCTTCTCCCCCGCAGTGCACATTGTCAAGGAGGATCTTCCCAGAGCCTTCCCCAAAGTGGGCCTCACCTGGGGCTGAAATGGCCCAGCCACACCCCAGCTGCCTGCAGATGATGTTTGCTTCTGGCAGGTCCCAGAGGTCATCACACACCGTCCCCCAGACTCCCTGGTAGAAGAGTTCCACGCGACCTGCACACCTCCCATGGCCACCTACCAGCCGCACAGGGGCCCAGCCTCCTGGAGAAGAATCGAGGGTCAAGGGGTGATGGCCACTCGGTCTGCCTTTTGATGACTGGACTATGTGCTACATAGCCTAACTTCTCTTACGTTCCTTGTCTTTGTTATTCACACTCCACACTGTCATGTGAGATCCCATGTCATTCTCTGCATGTGTCTGCTTTGAGAAGTCTGTAATGTCTTCCTTATCCTTATTCTATTTAAGACTGCTTGTCTGTGGTAGAGTATTTACCAAAATGACCACAGTTCTCTTCCTGATCTCCCCGCTCTTTGTAATGTGACACTGCTGCTCTGCCTAAGAGGTTAAGCTTATTTTCCTACTCTTCGATTCTAAGCTGGTGGCCTGGGACTTGCACTGGCCAGTAGAATATGGCAGAAGTAATGGCACACTCATGTGGAACTGATGCCTCAAGAGGCATGACAGGCTTCAGCTGACTCCATGGGAACACTGAGGTAATCATGCGAATAAGCTTGAGCTAGCCTGTGGGTGACGAAAGACACCTGACCTCATTGCCTCTGTCACCTCAGATAACAGCTATGAAACTGTAAGACACGTGCGGGAGGCCATCCTAGGCCAGGCAGTCTTCAGCTGACTTTCTGGCTAGCCACAGATGCATGAGCAAGCCCAGCCAAGGCAGCCAAGACCAGCCAAGCCTGTCCTAGATTGGCAGAACTGCCCAGGTGACCCTTAGATTCATGAGCGATAATAAATGGCCATCATTTTAAGCCACTGTGTTTTGGGATGGTTTTACATGGCAATAGATAATTTATACACTTGCTTATCCGTACCTGTTTCTTAGATCAGTTACTTTTTGTGGTGATCATTTTGCAATATATACAAATATGGAATCATTATGTTGTAGATCTGAAACTAATATAATGTTATATGTTAATTATACCTAAAAAAATGGAGGTAAAGAAAGGAGCTTGAACATACACAAAAAAATGTGAACTTAAAAAAAACATAAAAAAGAAAGATGTGGAGTGTGAACTCATGTGATTGAACTCACAGAGCCAACAATGGCACCTTTGGTAATAGCCACACCCTGAAAGCCATGGCCAATGGCCGGGAGCTATGGCACCTGCTGGTCACTATTCTATCAGGGATGCTCAAACTCTGGGCAGTGATAAGGGCGCCTCTCTCTCCTTCCTGAATCTTTTGAGTGTACAGCTAGATTGAGACTCAGGAGTCCCATGTTTTACTCCTGCCTTATCTGACCTCAGGTTAGACCTAATTTTTAAAAGAAAAAAAAAAAAAACTAACTCAAGGCTGAATATCCTGAAATATTGCTCATCCCTGACCATACCAGAAAACCATCTCAAAGAGCCACCTCACTATTCACAAATTCTGTATGGTTATTGGCCAGCACTACATTCTAATTTGGAGCACATGTTAATGTCTCCCATCCTGCAGTCTATCTGGTTTCTTCCCTGCTTGACATAATCCCATTGCCCTCTCACCCTTTAGGTTCTGCCAAGACCTTTTGGATCTGGATGGAGACTCTCTTCTGGGACCCCATAGCATTCTGCACTTCCCCATTAGAGCATTCACCACACTTTTTGGTAACAGTTCTTCCCCACCATGGACTTTACTTACTTGAAGATCAGTTCTGTTTATTGCTATATACAACCCTAGTGGCATTATGTATCCTTAGTGACATATATTCATTCACTCATTCATTGTTGAATAAACAAAGTTGTTCAGAAGACATATTGTAAAGAGAAACAGTCTTACCAGGAGGTGCAGAAGAAGCTGGGTGTTGAGCCACTGATGTGGGAAGCAGGTTCTCATAGGCTGTTGGTGGGTAAAAAAGAAGGATGGTCATCTGGGAGCAGTCAGAACATTGCGAGAAGATACAGTTGCTTCAAGGGGTCAACTGCCTTCTTGCAGGACTCACCAGGAATAACCATGGCACTGTATTCTAAGGCCAGTGACTTCATAGCCACAAGATCTTCATTTAGGACAGAACATGGTATTATCGCCTATTGACGAATGAACATGCATTGCATGTTCAAAAAAGCAAAGCTCGTGGACAATTTGCCCCATGGCCTACTGTAGGAGAGGCCATCAGGTGGCCATCATCTCCTTGGTGACTTCTCTCTAGGTGTGTCATGACTTCACCTGAATGAAGCAAGGGGATTCACATAGCAGTTCCTGGAAGTGGAGTGTGGGAGAGGGAGGAGGGCATCAACTCTGAAATGTGTGAGAAACCTTTGAATGCAAAGGAACTCTTTTATATCTTGACTGAGGTGGTAATTATACAACTTCACACAATCACCCAAATCCATCTAACTGAACCTGAAAATGGGTGAGTTTTATGGTACACAAATCAAGCATTATAAAAATATGATAGGTTGATGGCTGAATGAAGGGACACTAGATTGATTGATAAATTTATTGTGTGATCTAGGTAGGTAGGAGCTCATTTTCAAATCCTTCAAACTCTGATGCATATTTGAAAATTATCATAATAAAATGTCAGATGGGAAACGGTCCTTCAGTTTCTAGTACAAAACCTACATCTCTGTCCTTGGACAATAACCTCTCACTTGCCAGGGAGCCATACACTTCATTCAGCCAATCAGTGTGGCTGCTGATCCTCTCCTTGTTAGTCACAGAATGTCGAAGGCATAGAATTTTAGAGAGCATGGAATCCAATGTGCCTGTTCTAATGACATGGAGAGTGAGGGCCAATGTCATTCACCTGGAAAGAGACCAGCCAGGAACAAATTCCTTCTGCTCAGACCCTTTGAACCCTGCCCCCTCACACAGCCTCCCTTAGTTGGTGTTTGACCAAAAGAAAAGCTATGGGAGTGTTTGTCTAGTGCCAGACGTTTGGGCATTGTCACATGCAGTTCTCAATTATTCAATTCTCTATGTTACTCTGACTCTTACAAAGAGAAATAGAGATGAAATGGGATCAAGAGATGACATCAATTGTCTGAGGTCATATAATTGAGGGTGATCATATGCCATGTCTGTCCCTCACATTAGGGTGCAGACCCCATGAAGGAAGAACATTGGGGAAGGGTAGATTTGATCTCTGCTGTGGCTCCAGTGTCTGTTGGCACAGAGTTCAGCACATGGTGGACAATCAGTCAATATCCATGAAAAGATGAGTGACTAATGAAGCTGGGAACCAAATCAAGATCTGACTCTGAACCTTACACCAGGTCTAGTAGATGAGGCCAAATGTAAGACAGGTCTTACCTGTGGGCAGAGCAGCTGTGGACTGAGCACCTGTCAATGTGAAGAGAGACTGCACATTATCATGTCTTATTTAGTGACTATTTACTGGGAACATTCTAGATTTAGGGAGTTTGGAGGCAGAGAGAAGCAGAGACCTTGCCCTTGGGGGTCTCAGTATGCCACGAGACCAGCCAGCAAATGCTGAGTGTCCCAGGGGAGTGTCAGAAGGCAGTGCTCCCCCAGGTGTTAGGTGTTGAGGGGTGTGGCTCAGGACGGGCCAGGTGCAGCCTGGAAGAGCTTGTCATTTGTAGCAACGTTATTCCAGCTGCCAGAGGGACAGAATCAGGAAAGATTCTTGGAGCAGAGTCAACTGGAAGGACAGAGAGGTTTGGGAAGGCCACCAGGCCTAGACGTGGAGGGCCTGGAACACCAGCTGACAAATTTGGCCCATCACCCAGAGGTCACAAATTCAAATGAAAGTTTCCGAAAGCCATGGGAATAAAACAAATGAGGGGTTTGAGTGATGGGGACTGTGTGAACTGGAAAGCTGTTTCATGACCAAAGTGTCAGCCTTTATCAGATCCAGTTGATGAATGTAACAAAAGAATTTGTTATTTTGAGCCTGAACTTCTGTTTTTAATTTTTTTTTTCACAAATGGAAGAATTTGGAATTTTATGCCAGATACTCCCAGTTGGCTGAATTTGAGTTCAGTCTGAATTTTCAAACCAAACAGGTCATATTGGAGCCTGGCTCTGTGATCGTGAGCCATACTCAGCAATCTTTTTAGTCAAGGGAATGGTCAGGCTGATGCATAACTTAGAAAGGGTGTAGACAACACCAGTGGCTGCCTTGATCCACTGACATTTCTGGACCATGCTGGGTTGTGTGTGTGGAGGAATGAGTAGTGAGGGGATAAGAGTAGCCAAGTGAGGACTGACAGCCAGCCCCTCACCTGCACAGATGACACCGGCATCCTCCAGGTGCCCGCAGTTGAGCCCAGCCTCACCCCTGTGCACACACTGCCCCAGATGGCTCTCACTGCCTGCACACTGCACATCATCCAGAATGATCTTCCCAGAGCCTGCCCCGAAGTGGGCCCCTGTGGGGGCTGCCATGGCCTGGCCACACTGCAGCTGGCGGCACACGACTGTGGCCTCGGCCAGGTCCCAGAGGTCATCACACACAGTCCCCCATGTGCCCTGGACGAGAACCTCCACTCGGCCTGAGCACCTCCCTGTGCCATTCACCAGCCTCACGGCCATCCGGGCTCCTGAGGAGACAGAGCAGTGGGATATTGTGAGATTGACCTTTATTTATGTCAGCATATTGCCTTGATCCTGTTACAGTGGACCGATATACTGCTGATGTCATGATTCCTCTGGGTTGGGCAGATAGAGAGATCTACAGTCATGGAACATCAAAGCTGGATTTTCTCCTTCCTGGAAGTGCCAGAGACCCTAGGGAGCAGCAACATCTGACTTCTAGAGGCAGAAAGGCAGAGGTCCTTGGTTCTCAGTGTTACATATGTCTCCCCATCTCACCAACAGCCAAAGAACTTCAGGGAATCCTTGACTTGAGGGCCACCTGGATGCAATGGCCATGCCTTTGTGGACAGCTGACCAGAGTATTTCTACGGCAGTTGTCCAGTATGGTGTAATCTGGAGATTGCAGAACGCTATTCCAGTACTAAAGACATTTCTTTGCACCAGCATAGTGGTATTTTTAACCATAGAATGTTCACTGAATGCCTAATAGGTGCAAAAGTTGATAGAGTTCACCCCTCAGGGTATAATCAGCGACAGAATGGAGAGACCACACACTTTGCACTATCAGGGCAAATAAGAGGAATACCTCTAGGAGTCTAACAACACTATTGGTGACAAACATTTCATCTACTTTGGGAGATGAGTTTATGGAAGGCTGGCTTTGAAACAGGAAGATAATTTCTGCAGGTTGATCATGAAGGAAGGAGGTTCATTCCAGACAGAGTGAAAGGAGGGGAAAGTTCACATTGGAGGGAAATCTGTGGGGTCTTCAAATGCAACATGATTTGATTAAATAAACTAATTTCCTCTCCTTCCACAGCATGTGAAAGGCCTTAAAATATAACCTGCAAGGACAGAGAAAGTTGGAAGAATAGTAAGAACTGATGGAAAATTTCCACACGTTCTTTTAGAAACTAGAGACCAGAGAAACCTCGCGGATGATGTATTTGGAGGAACAACATGCCAACCGATGTAGGAGTGAGGTGCTGGCAAAGAAGGTGATCAGGGTTAATTGTATTTTCTAAAGATGTCTATAAAATATCTCCAGTTCCTTGAGCCTTCTGGAACCTTGACAGTCTCATGTCTGAAGGAAGAGTCTCTGCATCATCCCTTCGAATCTGGGTGGGCCTTTGTGACTTTCTTGATCAATGGAGTGTGGCACGAGTCAGGGTGAGGGAAGTGCATTGCACTTGTGCTCTATTTCCTCAGGGGACTGACTCCTCGAATCTGGCCACCACCCTGGGAGAAAGGCCAGTCCTTATGCAGATGCTGACATTTGAAAGTCAAACATTTAAACACACTTCTCAGTGTGTTTAAGTTTCTCAAGATCAGTTCTCTTCAGCAAAAAGCAAATATTTGATGACAACAATGATGACGATAGTTATTATAGAGTTAACATTTATATAGACTTCTTGGGATCTAGCACTAAGGTAAATGATGTTTTCAGCATCTTTAACCTCCACAGTTAAGCCTTCCAACCATATCTGTGTATCTATGTGTGTGTGTAGATGTGTATATATAAATAATAGTGTGTATACATGTATATACACTGTCATGGATGTATTATAGACAAATATATTCTATTATTATAATACCTATACTGTAGGTGAGGAAATTAAGGCACAAAGCAGTTGAGTAATGTGCCCAAGATCACACAATTCTGAGAAACCAGTATTTGAAATTAGAAATTCTGGTTCCATAGCCCATGCAAGAAATCTTAGTGAGATTTATTTAGTAGAAAACCAAACAAAAACTAGAGAGAACTCCCAGAAGTATCAGATTCATATTTTGTGGGTACAGAACTAAGGGAGTGGGTGAAGTTGGAGAAGGAAGACTGCCTGACAGTAAGTCTGTTAGCGCTGTGTAATCATTAATGCACAAGTGTAGAGCACGTTGATGGAAGGAAGGAAGGGAGGAAGGAAAGAAGAAAGGAAGGAGGAAAGGATTGAAAGAAAAGGAAGGAAAGAAGGAAGGAGGAAAGGAAGGTGGGAAGGAAGAAGGAGGAAGGAAGGAAAGAAAGAAGGAAGGAAGGAAGAAAGGAAAAGGAGGGAAGGAAAGGGAAGGAGGAAAAGGGAAGGAAAGAAAGGGAAGGAGGGAAGGAAGGAAGGAAGCAGAAAGAGGGAAAGGGAAGGAAGGAAAAGGGAAGGGAGAGAGGCAGGGAGGAAAGAGGGAAGGAGAAAAGAGCCATCATACCACAACATAAACAAGATGAGAACCAGACCTATTCTACAAATGAGTCTCGGTTTTAATAGTCCAAAGGCGGGGCGCCTGGGTGGCTTAGTCGGTTAAGCGTCCGACTTTTGCTTAGGTCATGATCTCACGGTTCATGGGTTTGAGCCCCGCCTCGGGCTCTGTGCTGACTGCCAGCTCAGAGCCTGGAGCCTGTTTCAGAGTCTGTGTCTCCCTCTCTCTCTGACCCTCCCTCGCTCACACTGTCTCTCTCTCTCTCTCTCTCTCCTAGAAATAAATAAAAAACATTAAAAAAATAGTCCAAAGGCAAATTTGTTTAGAATTATTCATAGTAACACATGTAGGAAGTCAATAATTTAGAATTCCACCTTTCCCCAATACATATTAGGCCAAATACTATTCTTAAGAGCTGTTTCCTGGGAAATTAAAATATTCCCTGGTCAGATAATTTGAGGAAATGGTCAATACTTAACATTTTTTGGGAATCTATGCTCATTGACAGAGTTAAGTCCCTTAGATGTCCTGAAGTAAAACTACAACAAAAGCAAAAACTTGTCCCATTAGTTCAACTGAAGTTTCTGAGATTCAGAAACATTACCCCGGTTTGTGTGTGTCAGGGTTACTGCCTTGCAGAATTTAGACTCCACACAACACATTTTAGGAAATGCCGATATATCCTAATAACATAACCAAAGAAAGTTTTTTCTTAGAAATAATGATGGACCTTGAGGGTGTTATGCTTAGCGAAATAAGTCAGGCAGAGAAGGACAAATATCATATGTTTGAACGTATAGGAGGATTAGGAGGAACTTAATGGAGGAACAAGGGGGAGAAGAAGGGGGGAAATGGGGGGGGAAAGGGAGAGGGGCAACCATGAGAGACTCTTGAATGCTGACAAAAACTGAGGACTGATGGATGTGGGGGGGAGGGGGGGATGGGCATGAAGGAGGGCACTTTGGGGATGAGCACTGAGTGTTATGTAGAAACTAATTTGACAATAAATTATTTGTAAAAAAAAATAAAAAAATAAAAAAAAAGAAAAGAAAGAAAGAAAGATAAAGATTTGAACACTAAGCCAGCTTGAAGGTCACAGTCAGATATAAATGCGGCCTCCTGACTCTGCTCTTACACAGCCAGGGGTCCTCTCCAGGCTGTGATCAGCCCCGAGCATGGCGTCAGGCCCAGGAAGGGGCCAGGCTAGTCCCCTGCACACAGCGCCCTCCTCCCTATTCCCCACAAAACAAATAACAACCTACCTGCTGGATTGGTCGTCGCGACAAGTGCCACAGGCTCTGTGGTGGGCACGGCTGCTGTTAACACGTCACCTGTGTGTGTAAAGCAAAGAGAGGCCTTGTTCACTGCCAGATGCCACCTCCCCACATGGGGAGGGTGGGCTTCTGATAGGCCCAAATAGATGGCTAGGCACAAGTCTGTCCTGTTATGGTCTGGGTCCATGCTCCAACTGCCTTCCCTGCCATGCTCACCCAGGGTGGGTATCAGACCCCACTGTGGGATGAAATGCTCACCCATGGATGGAACCCCCTTGCCTAGCACACTCCAGTTCTCGAAGTGTCCATAGAACCAATGGTAGATTTTTTCCCTCAGTTTCTTTGAGGAGCAATCCAGATGTGTTCTGTCACAGACATGCAGTCAAGTACACCGCTGAACGTTTGTCATTTCGATTTTTGGTGGCTTTGTCTGGGCTCCGAGTAGCCTAAACCGTGTGAGGCTCCCATAGGGCATGAAGGCAGCCCCGTTTTCATCTTATCGACTCATAAAATGGCAATAAAGTACTGTTTTGCTTCTTTTTAAAAAGTTATTTATTTATTTTAAAAAGTGGGCTCTACCCCCAGCACAGGGCTTGAACTTACAACCTTGAGGACAAGGGTCTTGTGCTCTACTGACTGAGCCAGCCAGATCCTTCTCTTCTGCTTCCTTTCTAAAACAGCTTTATCAAGGCCTTGTTGCTATTCAGAGAGCTGCCCATATTTAATGTGTACAGCTTGTTGGGTTCAAACACATACAAACACTTGTGAAGCTATCACCATAGTCGTGGTAATAGACATATCCAGCACCTCCCGGAATTTGTGTTTTTTTCCCTCCTTTTTTTTTTTTTTTTTTTTTTTTGCTGTAAACACTTAGCATGGTATGCATCCTCTTAACAAATTAAAAAAAGTTTTCTGATGTTTCTTTTTGAGAGACAGAGAGAGAGGGAGAGAGAAAGAGCACAAGTGGGGGAGGGACAGAGATATAGAGGGAGACATAGAATCTGAAACAGGCTCCAGGCCCTGAGCTGTCAGCACAGAGCCCAACGCGGGGCTCGAACTCAGGAACGGTGAGATCATGACCCAAGCCAAAGTTGGATGCTTAACCGACTGAGCCACCCAGGCACTGCTCAAATTTTCAAGTGCACAATACCATATTGTTAACTGCTTACACTGTGTTGTATGGCAAGCTCTAGCATTTATTCATCAACATAACTGAGACTTCATACCATTGAACTCTCCATTTCCCCCTCTCCTGAACCCCTGACAACCACCATTCTATTCTCTGCTTCTGCGAGTTTGAATATTTGAAATGCCTCATATAAGTAAAATTGTGCAGTATTTATCCTTCTGTGATTGGCTTATTTTGCTTAGCATTATGTCCTCTGGATTCATCTATATTGTTGCAAATGGCAGAATTTCCTTCTTTTTTAAAGGCTGAATGATATTCACTTTATGTATGTACCACATGGTCTTTATCCAATCATCTGTTGTTAGACATGTGTTTTTTTTTTTCCCCATCTCTTAGCAATTGTGAATGGTGCTTCAATGAACATGGGAATGCAAATGTCTCTGAGATCTTGATGTCAATTCTTTTGGGTGTATTAACCAGGAATAGGATTGCTGTATCATATGGTAGTTTTATTTTTAATTTTTAAGGAATCTTTGAAATAGTTTCTATAGCAGCAAAACCATTTTACAGGTCTATGAACAGCGTGCAAAGGTTCCAATTTCTCTACAACCTCACCATTCGTGTTATTTCTCTTTTTAAAAATAGTAACCATCTTAACAGTTGTGAGGTGATATCCCATTGTAGTTTTGACCTGCATTTCCCTAATGATTAATGGTATTGAGCATCTTTTCATATACCTGTTGGACATTTTTATATTCTCTTTGGAGAAATGTCAGTTCAAGTCTTTTGCATTTTTTAATGTGGTTATTTGATTTTTTTGCTATTAAGTTTTAGGAGTTCTATATAGATTTTGGAAATTAACCCCTTAACAGATATATGATTTGCAAATATCTTCTCCCATTCCATAGGTTGCCTTTTAATTCTGTTGATTGTTATTTCTGCTATGCAGAAGCTTTTCATATTGATACAGTCCCACTTACCTTTTTTTGGTTTTGTTGCCTATGTTTTGGGTATCATATCAAAGAATTTATTGCCAAGACTGGTGTGAAAAAGACTTTCCCCTATGTTTTCTCCTGGGAATTTCAGGAGTTATGTTTAAGTCTTTAATCTATTATGAGCTAATTTTTGTGTATGGTACAAGGCAGGAGGCCAATTTCTTTTTTTTTTTTTTTGCACATGGATATTCAGTTTTCCCAATATTATTATTTGTTGAAGAGACCTTCCTTTCTCTATTGTGTATTCTTAGTACCCTTGTCAAAGATCTGTTGAGTAGGTTTATTTCTGGGTTCTCTATTCTGTTCCATTGGTCTATATGCCTATCTTTATGCCAGTACGATAGGGTAGGTTTATAATACATTCTGAAATCAAGGAGTACAACGCTTCTAACTTTGTCCTTCCTCAAGATCACTTTGGCTATTCTGAGTCTTTTGTAGTTTCATATGAATATTAGGATAGTTTTTTCTACTTCTTTAAAAATTGCCATTGGAATTTTGATGGAAATAACTTTGAATCTATAGATCTCTTTGGGCAGTATGGCCATTTTAACAATATTACATTTTCCAATCCATGAACATGGGATGTCTTTACATTTATTTGTATTTCCTTTAATATCTTTCATCAATGTTTTATAGTTTTCAGTTGCAAATCTTTTACTTCTTTGGTTAAGTTTATGCCTAAGTAATTTTATTTTCATTGATGATACTGTAAATGGAATTTTCTTCCTAATTCTCTTTTTGGATGGTTCATTGTTAGTGTAGAGAAACACAATTGATTTCTGTATGTTGATTCTGCATCTTATAAATTTTCTGAATTCATTTTTTAGTTTTAACATTTTTTTCTCTCTGGAGTGCTTAGGGTTTTCTATATGTAAGATCAGGTCATCTGGAAACAAAGATAATTTAACATTTTCCTTTCCAATTTGAATTTCTGTTATTTCTTTTCCTTGCCTAATTGCTCTGCCTAGGAATTCCAGTAATATATTGAATAGAAGTGGCAAGGGTGAACATCCTTGTCTTTTATTCTGATCTTTAAGGAAAAGCTTTCAAATTTTACCATTGTGTATGATGTTAGCTGTGGTCTTGTCATATACAGCCTTTATTATTTTGAGGTACATCCCTTCTACCCCTACGTTGTTAAGTATTTTCATCATGAAATGGTGTTAAATTTTGTCAAATGCATTTTCTGCATCTATTGAGATGATTATGTGTAATTATCTGATTTATTTTTTAATTATGTATTTAATTGTTTTTAAAAAGTGTGATTCTGGTATAACTAACATACAGTGATAGATCAGTTTCAAGTGTACAATATAGTAATTCAACAATTCTATACATTACTCAGTGCTCATCATGATAAGTGAACTCTTAAACCCCTTCCCCGATTTCACCCATTTTAAAAAATCTTTAATTGTGTTAGTGTGGTATATCACATTTATTGATTTGTATATGTTGAACTACCCTTGCAACCTAGGGAAAAGTCCCACTTGATCGCAATGTACGTTCTTTTTAAAGTGTGTTGTATTGTTTTCTTTTAAAAAAGATCTCAAACATCTTTTTAAAAAGATGATCAGACACTTAGAGTAAAATATTAGGATTTGATAAAACTCAGTATTGGATACTCAGGGGTTCACGATATTAATTTTACATTTGTCAGTGAGCTTGAGACTTTTCATAATGTTATTTTGTATATGTAAGTGATTGACTAGTCATTTAATTATTTTGATCTATTTAAATAATTTGGGACTAGACTATCTACAAGCAGTTATACCATCAAAGTGGTTATTTAAAATGAATTGTAATAGAAAAAGAAAAAAATCAAATAATTGATTTAATTTTTTAGTTGGTCACATGGTTCATTGTACTAGGTACAATGTACAATCAGTCTTCTTATGTCAAATACACACCAGAAGTTATACTCCTAATGGCAAAGCAACTGAGACTCAGTTCCAGTCAAGGTGAAGAAGGGGATCTTGTGCGTGTGTGGCCACTGCCAGTGGAAATTTTACTAGCAACCATTTTATTACAATATCCATGTTATCATTATTTAAGGAAAGAGGCTTTGTTGCTCTCCTATCAAATGCCTACAGAGGTGGAAATGATTTATTTTTACATGCTTGTCCTCTTCTAACCACTTGTGTTTGTATTTTTCAGATTCCTGAAATTAAAAGGATGCTACACACTGATCATACAAATATCTACTGATATGTGAATCTATAAGCAGTTCTTGATCACCATAAATATCATTTGGTAGAAATTAATTCAATCACAACTGATTCTATTTTAATTAACTGAGCCTCTGAACCCTTGGAAACAGCTAAATATTCTCAACGTCCAGGTTTTGTTTAGGTAAGTTCAGGAATTATTTAAGAGGTCTAGTGGTGAAACGAGAAGCCTGATTCCCCTTCGGCTCTGTGCCCCTCTGTATGATGTGATATGATGTAGGATGGCTGTTAACTATTCCACCCTGGAGTGACTCAACCATGCAGGACCAGTGAGCTGCACAAACCCCGGAATCACCATTCATGTATGACATGTGGTGACCTGCATGATGATGGAATTCACGGCGCATTCTAGTAGGGTAGTGCCCCCCAGAAGTTGTTCAATGCAAAGACCCTGCTAACTTGGCTTAGGAAAGGTCCAAGGAGGAAAATCTTCAAAGCAAAGGAACCATGCAAAGATTGGACCAACCTGATAGTGTGTATGATTGGGTGGCAGTTTCAGGCTCTGTGGTTGAAGTGCGTCCTGGTGAATCATCAGCACCTAATGGCCAGAAGAAATACATGTGCTAAGGGCTAGGGTGCCATTTACAATATAAATCATTAAAATAATCATTGAGAAATGCCTGAAAGGAGACAAAGTGATGTTGTGTTAAAAAAAACATAGCCCCTCACCTGCGCACACAACGCTGGCATCCTCCAGGTGCCCACAGTTGTGCCCAGCCTCACCCTTGTGTGCACACTGCCCCAGGTGACTCTCGCTGCCCGCACACTGCACATCGTCCAGCACGATCTTCCCAGAGCCTGCCCCAAAGTGGGCCCCCGTGGGTGACGCCACGGCCTGACCACACTGCAGCTGGCGGCACACGACTATGGCCTCGGCCATGTCCCAGAGGTCATCACACACGGTCCCCCATGTGCCCTGGACAAGAACCTCCACTCGGCCTGAGCACCTCCCTGTGCCATTCAGCAGCCTCACGGTCATGGAGGCTCCTGGGGAGGTATGAGGAAGAGAAAGACTGGAGACCTAGCTCTCTGAGGTCAGAGAGCTTACATTAGGGTATATTGCTAGGTAATTTTCAGAAATTCTGTCTCTTAACATAATCCTCATCACCTACAGTAAAAAGAACAGCCTTTGTAGATTCTTTAAATTAATTGGCTTTTCTATTTATTATTATTGCAATGTGGCCCAGTAGACCTGGATGTAAATATCCCCAGGTGATATTTAAAGGAATTGTTTGTTTATTACCTGGTGATGTTCATATAGGAGATAAGGCTTATGGAAATATTAGTTCTTTTTTTTTAATGTTTAAAGTTTATTTATTTATTTTGAGAGAGAGAAAGAGAGCAAACAAGCGTTGGGAGGGTCAGAGAGAGAGGGAGAGAGAGAATCCCAAGCAGGCTCTGTGCTGTCAGCACAGAGCCCGATGTGGGGCTCAATCTCATGAACCATGAGGCCATGACCTGAATCGTAATCAAGAGTTGGACACTTAATCAGCTGAGCCACCCAGGTACCCCTGAAAATGTTAGGTCTGCAGTTAAAGGCAAAGAGGCATTAACTTATGTGCTAACAAGAAGGCCTAGATATAGCCAAGGAGATAACTTTTGCTCAAATGGAGCAGTGCAAGGAAAATGGAAATTAATAGGTAACACTGTCTTTCATATATTTTATTATAGTAATTCTCTGTTGTAGACAGCCTAATAATATACTTAACATTTAACCGTTCCATATAATTTTCTCAAATCATCTTGGGATGAGCAGTTAGTTCTTGTTCACTTCATTCTCTAGTACCCGCGAGGTAACACTGATACATGTCATCAAGAAAAACACAGTGAAAACAACCACAGTGATCCTTGTAGTTGGGCAGTTCTAGGTGATCCAACCTTTACCACATATGGTTGTGTGACTCTAGTGTCGTCACAGTGACTTTTGTTCATCTGTTTTTTCTGAGCCTCTGTTTATACATTTATGAAATGTTGGAAATTACACCTTCCTTTATGGTTATTGTGGAGTGACAATATTGTGAAAGCACTTAATTCTGTGCATGGCACAGAACAGATGCTCAGGAAACATGTAGCAAGTCACAGAGAGGCATTACCTGCTGGTATGAGTGTAGAATGAAGGATAGAAGGGCCTGTTGTGGCTATGGTAGCTGATAGTCCACCACCTATAAATGGTATAAACAGGGACATCATTTGTGACCAAGAACCTCCTAACCCCCACATAGGCAAAGAAGACGTTTACAATGAGAACATCCTAAAAAATTAAGACTCAAATATGACATTGAGTCTTCTGCTGGTTTCTCCACAAAGTTTTATGTAGGGAAGCCCTCACTTTACCTTGTCTTTAAACTTAGTTATCTAGTCTTCAAGATGTGATTTTGGAATTTTCCCCATGGTTTGTACACTATAGCTCTCTGAATGCCCCTGAGTCCATTTCTGGATCTCTCTGTTTCCATCTCTCTTTTTTCTCTTTTAGGAAACAACCAGCTGTGTGCAATCATGGAGACATGGCATTTGTATCAATGATTGGACTTTTTAGGCTTGCCCTAGGTGTTTGGCCAATATACCTAGACTATGTGTTACCTAAGCAGTGTGAGATTTTGAGCAGCTCTTGTTCCTGATGTTGCCTTACAAAACATCAATCCAAATGATCTTACTGCCATATCATTCTGGGGTCGGTTGGGGCAAATCAGTGTTTAGAATGTCAAATGGCAATTAATGCAGCAAACTGGATATTTAGTGTGGGGAGAATGGGTTTGTGGTCTCATTTTTTAGTTGGCAATATGGTTCTGGTGGAGCTGGCCTTAACCATCAGTAATAACCCACAGGTGCCATGGGGACTGTCAGAGGAGATGGAGACCCAGCACAGGTCGGATGCAAGAATAGTGCTCATACTGGGTGCCTCAGTACTCACTGGGAATTCTGCAGCTTTCTCTGTCTCTGTAGTTTCCATAGGCACCATTTTGAGTAGGCCTGGCCTGCTGCCGGCATCTGATAGATAGTCAGATGCTCGGGGGATCATCTGCTTTTTTATAATGCGTTTAACCTGTTGGGTTCTTTTAAAATTGATTAGATAGACTCCAGAACCTGTGGAATACACTTTGGATTTCCCAGGAATAACAATGGACAGACAGAAAAGGAACACTCTGAGAGTTACAGGTGATGGATAAGCATCACACTTCATAAAATGTCATGCCCTCTTTTATTTTTATCTACAACCCTTGTACAGTAAGTATAGCTCTGCCATCTCTAAGTGCCTCTACCAGAGTATAGACTGAGGAGACATCTTCTAGAGGGTAAATAGAGCCAAAAGCAAAGGCAGCAAGCAAAGGTGACCCACCTGTGAGTGTGTACATTGAGGAAGCAGCTTCAGATCCTGGGGTGGGGTTGGGAGCTGGAGGACCATTAGTACCTGAAGATTGAAAGACACCCGCATGGTTTATTATAATAAGGCTTACAATACGGGGCTTATTCAAGACAGTGCTTAATGACTTAATTTCAACACAGGTTGAAAATGCTTAAGGGGGCATAAAAGCAGTAACATCCTGGGAGGTGACAGTCCCTCACTTGCGCACACGACGCTGGCATCCTCCAGGTGTCCACAGTTGTGCCCAGCCTCACCCCTGTGCGCACACTGCCCCAAGTGGCTCTCGCTGCCCGCACACTGCACATCGTCCAGCACGACCTTCCCAGAGCCTGCCCCGAAGTGGGCTCCTGTGGGTGCCGCCACGGCCTGACCACACTGCAGCTGGCAGCACACGACTGTGGCCTCGACCAGGTCCCAGAGGTCATCACACACAGTCCCCCATGTGCCCTGAACAAGAACCTCCACTCGGCCTGAGCACCTCCCTGTGCCATTCACCAGCCTCACGGCCATCCAAGGTTCTGGGGAGGCACAAAGAGAAAAAAGACTGGGGGACTGGCCCTCCCATATCTGGAGGGTTTCCTTCATCCTTTTGAATCCCTAGGTCATCATGCAAGTCCCCGGTTCACAAACATGAAAGATCACACAGTCCTCATGTACCCACACAGTAAGAATAGCCAGAATAATCTTCAATTTCAAATCCCTTCAATGAGTCTTTACTAAATCTCCCCTTTCAAAGGATGAAACTCCTTTTGAGAAATTTTCAAAATTCCTAGGTTCTCCTAATCACTTTATCCATATGTTATTCCTCTGCCATGGATAGAATAGAAATAGGAGATGTCAATATATCTAACGAAATAGGAAAGATCCATATGTAGACCATAGCTAAATGGACCTCTGTTGTCTAGACTAAATTAGTCTCACAGTAACTTGCTCCCTTGGGCTCCATAATCTTTCTTTAGGGCTTTACTGTGTAAAGGAAACTGAGACAGGAACTGACATTTGCTTTTTGGGAGTGAAGTGCCAGAATTTCTGAGAGCCACTAACTTAAACATTTGTCTCTTAACCTTTGTAACCCCATGTGGTAAGGCATGGGTTTCCATTTTACAGATGAAGAAATTGAGGTGAAAGAAAAGGTGAAAAAAGGCAAAGAAAATTGCTCTAAGTGCCGTAACTTGTAAGTGGGGTGACTCCCACTTTCACTCCAGGGAGTGAATGCCTCTTTCCCTGCTTTCCATCAGCCCTTAATTCCCAAGAATTGCTTCCCATACCTGCAAGTGGAGGAGTCAAGGCCATGAGGGCTGTGGTCAGTGAGGGCTCTGAGAAGACATCAGCTAGGAGGAACACAAAATTGGGTCATCATCAGTCAGTGGGACAGAAAGAAGAAAGAAGACACACTGCCCAAAGTATTCATTCTAAGACCCTTCTGGAGCTTTGTGTTTTCTTTGGATTCATCTAAATAAGTCACCATCAAATAAGATGGTTTCATTTTTTTTAGTCATCTGTTAGCTATTCATGGTAAACTTATCCTTGAATCCTTGGCTCAGTAGAAATAAATCTTTAAGAAACAGAAGATAAACTTAAGAACAGCATACTTAAGGAGACCTAAAAGCAATAAAACCAGCCTCTGCAATTTAATAATACTGTGTGCCACCATTCATAACAAATACTTATTCAATGCAAAGAAACTGAGTCAGAATGCTGCATTTAAAAGGCTAAAATTCGCCTGGGTGGTTCAGTCAGTTAAGCATCGAATTCTTGATTGAGGCCCAGGTCATGATCTCACAGTTCATGAGTTCAAGCCCTGCATTGGGCTCTGCGCTGACAGCATGGAGCCTGCTTGGGATTCTCTCTCTGCTGCTACTCTGCTCTTACTCTCTCTCAAAATAAATAAGTAAACAGTTTTTAAAAAATAAAAGCCTTAAAATTCAGAAGTTAGAATCCATGTATAAGTAACTGTAATATGAGGTGAATTATGAGGGATGTCAACAGAAAAAATACAAATATACAGATTAAGTCTTCTTGTGGAGACAGGGGACTCTACTTTGAGAAACGGGTGGAAGAGATGTGGGGAGAGCTCATTTCAGGCAGCACAGATATTAGAGGACAGCGACCTTGAATTCAAACATTCAGGGACTTGAGGGACTAGGGATTTTAATTTTTAAAAAATATTTTATTTGTAAGTAATCTTTACACCCAACGTGGGGCTTGAATTCACAACCCTGAGATCAAGAGTTGCATACTTCATCGACTGAGCCAAGCAGGCCCCCTGCATTTTAATTTGATTAGAATATTGTACTAGCATATGTATTAATCCCAGATATTTGGATTTTACATTTTCCTTACTGATATTATGCAGGAACCATCCTAAAAGATACTACATAAGGAAAAGAGGATTTGGGTTGAGTATATTTCATGAACATTGACTGCTGTGACTTCTAGTGGGGATTAAAATTTTTTTTAATGTTTATTTACTTTTGAGAGACAGAGAGAGTACGCATGAGTGGGGAGGGGGAGAGAGAGAGAGATGAGGGGCTTGAGTCATGAACTTAGATCTTGACCTGAGCCAAGTAGACACTTAACCTACTGAGCTATCCAGGTGCCCTCTAGTGGGGAGTTTATAGTTATTTGTTTATTAAAGACTCCTAGACACCCTGTAGCAAAGGAACCTGTTAAATCTGTTTAATGCAATGTTTCTTAAATTCTTTGGACCATAGAACCTGTGTGTGTGTGCGCATGCTCGCCTGTGCACGCATGCACCACGTGTGTTAGTGCTTGCAATTTATCTTAACATGCTGTTGATCTGTAGTTCTGGGAGCATATTCTCAGAAACATCTTTATTTAGCTACCTCAAGGATTCTGCTAGGGACTGGAGATTCCTAGCAATGTTTGTTACTAAATTTCCATTTTTTTCTTATTTCTAGAAATAAGAAATAACTTGTAAACTTGAATAAATTAGAAGATATAATGTTTCAGTATAAACTCAAAAAAGCTGCATTTTTAAGTACCGATTAGTGTTTGCTCTTCTTCAGAGGTAATGAGTTCCATTGTTATTTCAGCAACTACAAAGAAAAGAAAACATTGGTTAGTGATGACTAACACTTAACAGACACACAACTAAAGCTGAGGAAAGGGAAAGTTATCTGGTACTTCAAAGAAACTTATAGCATCTCTTGGTGAAATATAAAAGCCCTTTCTAAAGGGCTTAGAGGTGCCTGGGTGGCTCAGTCTGTTGTGTTTGACTTCATTCAGCTCAGGTCATTATCTCATGGTTTCCTGAGTTTGAGCTCTGTGTCCGGCTCTGTGCTGACAGCTCAGAGCCTGGAGCCTGCTTCGGATTCTGTGTCTCCCTCTCTCTCTGCCCCTCCTCTGCCAGTGCTCTCTCTCTCTCCTCAAAAAACTAAAAAATAAAAATAAATAAATAAGTAAATAAACATTAAAAAAATTTAAAGGGCTTAGTGAATTTCCAGCCTAAAGACAGGATTCTTCTAATCTGGAATCTGATTCTTACTCCACCACACATTCGTTTCCTGATCTATAAAACTGGGAATCAAGCCTGACAATACATAAGAAAAAGGTTAATAAACTAAGGAATGAATAAATTCAAAACTTATCATAATATCTCTAAGTCAATAAATACTTCATTGTTTGGGAAACAACTCACTAGTCATAACGATAAATATCAAAATAGAAAATTAAAAAAAATCTTTAATAGGAACATCAAAAGCCATGAAATTGTTATGGATAAGCCTGATAACGATGGGCAAAATTTGAACATGGAAACATAAAAAAAAACTGAGATAAATGAAGGACCTAAAGAGATGCCCTATGTTGATAGATCAGAAAACTCAACACTGTTAAGATGTCAATTTTCCCAAATTTATATATAGACTCTACACAGTCTAAACTAAGAATCCCAGCAGATATTTTTTGTAGAGACTGACAAGTTGATTCAAAAATTTTATATGAAAGGCCCCAAACCCAAGTTAGCTAAAACAATTTTGAAAAGGAAGAAAAAAGAATAAAATGATTTCTATATAGTCTCAAGCTATAGAAATCCAGACAATGTGATATAGGCATGAGAATAGTAACATAAATCAGTGGGAGAAGAGAGGGAGTTTAGAAATAGACTTACATATTAATGATTATTTTATTTTTGACAAAAGTGCCAAGCACAGTATTTCAGTGGAGTTGGGAGACTCTTTTAGACAAATGGCGTTGGAATGATTAGAGATCTATATAGAAAAAAAGTACTCTAAACCATATTGAAAAATCAACAAAAACGAATCATAGAACTAAATGAAAAACCTACAACTATGAAACCTCTAGAGGAAAACAGGAGAAAATCTTTGAGAACTTTGGTCAAGTAAAGATTTCTTAAATAGAATATACAAGCACATTTGAGTAAAGAAAAAAATCTTGGTAAATTTGATTTCATTAAAACTTAAAAATTCTGCTCTTTAAAAAAGACTTTTAAGAAAATGAAGAGATGGGGCTCCTGGGTGGCTCAGTTGGTTAAGTGTCCGACTTTGGCTCAGGTCATGATCTCACAGTTCGTGGGTTTGAGCCCCGCATCAGACTCTGTGCTGACAGCTAGCTCCGAGCCTGGAGCCTGTCCTCAGATTCTGTATTTCCCTCTCTCTGATCCTCCCCTGATCATGCTGTCTCTCTCTTCCAAAAATAAAAATAAAAACATTTAAAAAATTAAAAGAAAAAAAAGAAAATGAAGAGACAAGTTATAGGCTGAGAGAAAATATTTGCAAAACACAATCTGAGAAAATATTTGTACCTAGTATTTTATAATATATGTTTCTGTAATATTTCTTTAATATATAAAGACCGGTCTTACAACGTGATAAGACAAAAAAGAAAAAGATAAATGATTGGAACAGACACTTCACCAAAGAAGAGATGTAAATAAGCACAGTAAAATGTGTTTAGTATCACTAGTCATTAGGGGAAGGCAAATTAAAACTACAAAGAAAGATCATTCTCATTACAAGAGAAAGACTGTAATGATCAAACAAAAAATAGGATGCAAGTGTTGACAAGTATATTGAACAACTATAACTCTCATGTGTTGCTGGTGGGAATGCAAAATGGTACAGCACCTTGAAAAATAGTTTGGAATCTATATATGAGTGTTTTAAGCAGCTTAATTAATAATAGTCAAAAATTAAAAATAAACTCAATATCCATCAAGTGGCAAATGGATAAACACATTTGGCACATCCATACAGTGGACTACTAATCAGCAATAAAAAAGAATGGATGTCTGATACTTGGAGCTACACGGGTGAATCTCAAAAGTAATATGCTAAGTAAGCAAACCCAACCCAAATATTACATATTGTCTGATTAAAATATATAATATTCTGGAAAAGTCAAACCTTTTTAGAGACAGAAATCATATGGGTAGTTGCCAGGACCTGGGGGTTAAGAGAAGGAATTGAATACAGAAAGGCATAAGGAAACTCTTTAAGGTAGTAGAAATGTTTTACATCTTAATGGAAGTGATGTTTACACAATTGTAAACTGTAAACATTTATCAAAATTCTTTGAACTGCATGGTGATCTTTACTGTAGGTATGTTATATTTCAATAAGTCTGACTTTTATTTTTGAAAAGTAACTCTGATTGCATATAAACAATTAACTATAATGTTGGGAGCCTGTAGGCAGGGAAGCCAGGAGAAGTCTGTGTTCATCCAAGGAGGAAGAGGTGATGAGAATTTGGATCCAGACAGTGGCTATCAGATGAAGAGGAGGTCATGAGTGCAACCACCTCAGGCTCCTAGCTATAAATGGAAAATGATTCATCCACAGAGACCTGATTACTTATGTAATAATGAATATCCAGATGTTTGCAAATAATTTATTCATATTCTTATTAGGATGTTTAGCTTTGTATATACATAACCATTAAAAAAACATGTAAGCTAAAAACAACCAGAGAAGTGATTCATTAATATGAACTTTGGCTTACTAGATCGAGTAGTTTTTGCTGATGATAGTGATGGTATTGGTGTCGATAACAAGGATGTGGATAATGATGGCACTGAGGGTGGTGATGATGTCGATGTTGGTGATGATGACGACGATGGTGATGGTGATGATGACAACGATGATGGCAATGATGAAGGCGATGCTGGTGACAGTGATGATGATGATGACGATGATGATGACAATGATGATGATGATGATGATAGTGCTGGTGATGACAATGGTGATGATGGTGATGACAGCAATGATGACAGTGACAATGGTGATGATGACAATGATGAGGATGACAATGGTGAGACTGATAATGGTGATGGAGATGATAATGATAATTCTGCTTTTATTTATTAGGACAAGAAAGATTCCTTCTTTCTTTTTAATACAGTGGTTCTCAAAGTGAGGTCCCCAGACCACCAGCATAAGCATCCTAGACTTGCTGGAGGTGCAAGTTCTCACACCCCACTCTAGACTTACTGAATCAGAAACTCTGGGGGTGGCCCAGCAATCTGTATTTTAAGAATCCCTGTGGGTGATTCTGATACACAATCGAGTTTAAAACCCACTGCTTTAGGGTAAAAAGGAAATGCTTGCAATGGCCCCAGGGTTTTTCCTAATGGCACAGAAACATAAATTTTCAACTGATGTGCTGTCTTCACCTGTTAGAAAGGATCAGGTCCCACAGACTCCAGAGGGAAAGTGAATGGCAATTTTCTCTCAGATAAGTGGTTTGTGATGACTGATGGGCATAGTCATAAGACAACTATCCTGAAATCAATGACCATTCTAGTTATCCAAAGACCCCATAAGAATCCTGTCTTGACTGCAGCTGTGGTAATTTCATTCCAATTTAGGAAGATTCCTGCACCTGGCTGGTTGGGTATTTAGCTAATTTCTGAACTCCCTCTTTGCTGATATTGCTCTCCACTGTTGAGCTCTCCACCAAGCTAAATGGTGCCTGGGAACTACCCGTGGGCAGTTTCCCAGAAGAGAGGTGATTCTGGCCAGGATTGGCGGGTTTCCTAGAGGAGAGTGTGAGAGCATGAAAGTAAGGTCAGCACCTCATGCCTGTGTTCTGAGTTCTCTGTGTTATGGTGGCATTGAACTATAGACTGGGAAAACTTTTTAGGCTTTAAGTGATATGGACCAATCAAACCAACTTCTGGAAACTGCTTACAGCTTGATTTAACAGGGTAATTTCCATTCCGCTTCTATCACCCATGTAAATATTAGCCAGCCAGGACTAGAACTAAGAATAGGGTATAGAAATGGCCAAGTCAGTCTTACCTGGAGGGGAGGGGCTTATCATCAGAGAATCTGTTAGTGCAAAGAGAAGAAACCATCACCCTCACTGGAGGGGCCATCGGCTCATTGCTCAATTTATGTAATAACCCATTCTGTTCATGATTCATTTCAAATGCAAAAAGACCCCTACCTGAGCAGATGGCTCCAGCATCTTCCTCGTGCCCACAGTTGTGAGTGAACCAGGTATCGTGGGCACACAAGGCCAGATGGCTCTCCTTACCACTGCAGTGCACATTATCCAGGAGAATCTTTCCAGTGCCTGGGCCAAAGTGGGCGCCCAAGGGGGCAGACACTGCCTGGCCACACCCAAGCTGCCTGCACACAACGTGAGCCTCCTTTAGACTCCAGCCGTCATCACACACTGACCCCCAGGTGCCATGGTAAAAGACTTCCACCCGTCCAGAGCATCTTCCAGTGCCGTTTACCAGCCTCAGCATGGCCCAGTGTTCTGTGGAAACCAATGTTAAGGTAAGTTTTTGAAACTTCCCTATTCAATTCACCTTGTTTGCCTTGCTTACAAATTAAGAGGAATCTCATGGTTACTCCACATGTATAAGAGCATTCTAGGTAAAGATTGCTTAATGATTACACCACTATGTGATATGCTTTTTATTAGTCACTTAACAAAACAGATTAGGTTGTGGAAAACATATTTCTTATACACTGGCACTTTAGGACTTGATGTCAATAAGGCAGAAATCAAAAATTAGGAAAATTCATCTCTGGTAGTGGGGAAATGCATAATTTAAATGGATTATTCAAAAAAACATAATAATACAGCAGTTAAAAGCAGGGAAGTGTCTACATATGTGTATCAACATAGGTGAATATCAAAAACATAACTGATTAAAGAATAAGAGGTATTGAATGATATATAGGGAATAATGTAATTTGTGTAAAAGGAAAACCTGAAACAACATATATGGAGATCACAGAATTCCTGTTTGTAAAAATATTAAAAGTGAAGATATATACAAAATTTAAGTGAATGTTTATCTCTGAGGAAGGAGAGAATAGAGACTGGGATTTGGGAATTTGAGGAATTTCAAATTTATCTTTGATGCTTTATTTCTTGGTAAGCCTGAAAAACCAATATACCAAAATGTAAGCATCAGTCATGCATAGGTAAAGGGGACATGGCTATGTGCTTTCTTAATCTCTGTATTTTCTGAACTTTAGAAAGTTTTGCTGGAACAGCAGGACAGTGAGGATTATCAGGTGCCAAAGCAGTGGGGGACCCAGACAAATTCCGGGGGTAGTGATCTTTCTTCCCATAACTGTGGTCTTTCCCCAGGCACCTCTGAGGCCTCAACTGTAGCTCCCAGGCTCCTACCCTGGTTGTGGTGACCCCTGGGGTCTTCGGGAGCAAT